ACAATGGTTGTTAATGGGTTGTTTGACACCCTGTTTGGGTGTTGATTACTTTCCTTGCTGTTGCTTCTGGGGAAATATCTGGCCGATTCCCCAACTTACAGCATACAACTCAATTCTGATAACTTCTTACACATATATTGATAGAGAAATGACTTTCAGCAGATCATAACCTTTCTGCGATACACATAAAGCATGCCTTGTAAGGTAAGATCACAATTGTATAAAAATGAGAAATATGGGGTTTCCAGGATGCTCCCTCAAAGTATAGAACGTCACAGAAGTTTTTCCTAATGTCCAACCTAAACCACCCTTGCTGCATTTAAGCCCATAGGTTCTTGTCCTATCTCCAGAGATCAAAGAGAACAATTTTGCTCCCTCCTCCTTGTAACAACCTGTTATGTACTTGAAAAAAAACTTATGTCCCCTCTCAGTCTTCTCTTCTCTGGGCTAAACAAACCCAATTTTTTCAATCTTCCCTCACAGGTCATGTTTTCTAGACCTTTCATCATTTTTGTTGCTCCAAGTTGTCCACATTTATCCTGAAATGTGGAGCCCAGAACTGGACACAATAATCTAGTTGAGGCCTAATCAGCACAGAGTGGAGTGGAAGAATTACTTCTTGTATCTTGCTTGCAACATTCCTGCTAATAGATCCTAGAATTCTTACAACTACAATACCCACCTGCTGAAGTGAAGAAACAGATTGACAGAGCCAGAAGAGTACTCAGAAGTTACCTACTACAGGACAGGCCCAACAAAGAAAATAATAGAATGCCACTAGCCATCACCTTCAGCCCCCAACTAAAACCTCCCCAACACATCATCAAGGATCTACAACCTATCCTGAAGGATGACCCATCACTCTCACAGATCTTGGGAGATAGGCCAGTCCTTGGTTACAGTCAGCCCCCAACCTGAAGCAAATACTCACCAGCAACCACACACCACTCAACAAAAACACTTACCCAGGAACCTATTCTTGCAACAAAGTCCATTGCCAACTGTGTCCACATATCTATTCAGGGGACATCATCATAGGGCCTAATCACATCAGCCACACCATTAGGGGCTCCTTCACCTGCACATCTACTAATGTGATATATGCCATCATGTGCCAGCAATGCCCCTCTGCCATGTACATTGGCCAAACTGGACAATCTCTACGTAAAAGAATAAATGGACACAAATCAGACATCAAGAATTACAACATTCAAAAACCAGTCGGAGAACACTTCAAATCTCTTTGGTCACTCGCTTACAGACCTAAAAGTGGCAATTCTTCAACAAAAAAACTTCAAAAACAGACTCCAACGAGAGACTGCTGAATTGGAATTAATTTGCAAACTGGATACAATTAACTTAGGCTTGAATAAAGACTGGGAGTGGATGGGTCATTACACAAAGTAAAACTATTTCCCCTGTTTATTTCCCCTCCTACTGTTCTTGTAAAGTGCTGGAAATGGCCCACCTTGATCATCACTACAGAAGGTTCCTCCCCCCCGCTCTCCTGCTGGTAATAGAGAACACCAAACAATGGGTGTTACCATACAGACTGTAACAAGAGTGATCAGGAAAGGTGAGCTATGTATATAAAAACTCCTCACTATATTTTCCACTGTATGCATCTGATGAAGTGAGCTGTAGTTCACGAAAGCTTATGCTCTAATAAATTTATTAGTCTCTAAGGTGCCACAAGTACTCCTTTTCTTTTTACGGATACAGACTAACACGGCTGCTACTCTGAAACCTAGAATTATATCCGACTCCCACTGAGAATCTGGCCATTATGTAATGAAAAAGAAAAGTGTGTCAACTGAAATTAAAGCATGACTTTCTGTGGAATCTGCGTATCTGGAATATAACAAATAATTCCTTTCTTACTACCTAAAAAACTCATTCACTGAATACAATCAATCATTCTTATCAGCATTCCTTTAGCTCCTGTGCAATAAACATTTGAACTAAAAAAACTTCCCAAGTCGAATTCCACCATCAAGATAATACATTAAGGTAGGTAACTGTGATCCTGTCCTCATGACTTTCATGTTTAACATTGTGTCAGCTTTAACAGTGGGAGACTTTTTGTTTGTTTTTTTTAAAAAGGCAACATTCTGTTGACTTGGTTCAATGGATCCTCTGAACCAGATGTTATTGAATCAGGTACCAAAAATGCAGAGTTCAAAGCAGGTTTTTGTGGCTGATATGGATAATGAAGATAAATTATACAGTCTTGTTATAAAGACGGAGGTAAGTCAAAAATTGTATTAAAATACATGTCTTTACCCATTTTGCTCTTAGAAACTTAGGCCCACAGTCTGCAAATGTGCATAGGTTTTTCCTGACTTACATTAGTAACATTTGAAATCAGAGTCTTTCTTTTGTAGCATAATATACTAGGGTTCAATAAATCAACTTTACAAGAGATTTTCATTGATTTATTTGAGGGAAAGACATTTGCATACATAGCATTTTCATTCATTCCAGGGAAGAATAGTTAATTCACTTTTATTAAAAAAAAGAAACACCTGAAACAGAGCAGACAGTATGTTGTAAGATCTTGAGTCATTAAATGGCATTTCAGAATATAATATCGTACCAAAACAAAATGAGCATATGCAATTACCACTTTAAGTGTTCTTTACTAAGTGGGTTATTAAGGTTAGATACGGCAAGCATCCTGCACTTTCTGTACAGTAGGGCTGTAAAGCACATTTCTGCAAATTTTATGCAACGTTTGGTTAGGCTATAAAGCATGAATGAGCAATAACTTTTCAAACCCATTTAAGAGCATATAGTTGCCATGTTTAATTTCAGAATGGAAGGCTGTTAAAAAACGCTGATTCATTCAGGGCACTAATTCTCCCCCCCCTCAAGAAAACGAAAAAGGGGGTGGGGGAAAGAAAAAAGTAAAAATTGACCAACAGACCTGAGCTTTCAGTTTCTGGCCTTTAGCTCCTGCTCTACCTGGAATCCACTCTACCGTTCCTGCTCTACCTGAATCCACCTCTTTTGGCCAATGCAATATCATCTTGTGACAAAGCAAGGACAGCTAAGTGACTGGGAAGCAACTCCTCTTGAAAGCCGTAACAACCACTAAAACATGTAATTCATCTCCTAAATGGGTATCAACTTTGATCTGCATAAAGTAGGAGTTTTAACACGTAGCCAAACGAGACCTTGTGCAAACGTACACAATGTTATGCTTACGACTGCATGTGGAAAGTTACATTGATAAAAGTGCCTTTTAAAAAGTAACTTATTTCCCTTTGTTACATGCAACTTATAGCAGGTTCCAATTTAAAAAATATATTCAGGTGAGTCTAAAGTTTGAGGCCTCATTCCAGAAGAAATCATAAAAGCTGATTTTGGTAAACTGGGCAAACAAACAATATGGGGTTTAATATGGGTAATGCTCTTATTTTTGTAGCACAACAGGCATGCCTAGTGCCATACGGGCAAATAAAACAAGATCCTTGCTCTGCGGTGTTTAGTCTGAGTAGAATCAAACAAACCAAAGTGATAACTTTGGAGCGGGAGGGGGAGAAGGGGAAGAGGAAAAAGGGGGAAGGGAGAAAAAGAGAAAAATATGAACAATGGGTAGGGAAATACAATCCTTGGGTAGCTTTTCCTACACAGTGTATATTACAAGTTCACATTTCTGGTTAGTTTATTACTGTTAACTATATAATGTTCATTATAAATTTAACTTCTGATCTTCAATATACCCTTCCTATAATTTTGCCTAATTTATTTGATTTTATAAGAGATGGTAATCTGCACTGTTCCTAGACATATTTCAAGTTGTTGGAATTGAGAGAAGGTGTTTAAATACCCATGCACATACCCTGTACCCTTTCGAAAGGGTACAGGGTGTCATCATAATTTACTATTAGAATGTTACATAAGAAAGGTATCTCAGTTCTCTATTTTATAGCTGTCTAAACACTTTCAGAAAAGGTAGCATAGCATAGAAGCCTCAGCGAAGTTTCTTTCAGCCTGAACAGCAGTTTGAACAAACAATTTTGTTGGAAACCAAGGACAATCCAAGAGGGCAAAATATGTTTCACTTCTATTTAAAAAAAAAAAAAAAAAAAAAGGTTGAAAGGTGCACTTCTGGACGCAAATGCTGGACACCAGCCACCTGAAAATGCATTTTAACTCTTTATTTGACTACAGGATAAAACACAACTGAAAGCATCAGGGCGAGAAGAGTGAAAGAGACCAATAGGATTTGCAGCCCTCTTCTCCTTCATGCCAATAACCAACAACCTCCCTCCAGCCTCATATGTATGCCACAGAAATGCTATATTCAGCTCTGAGAAGTGGATGGTATACAACTGCCTTCAATCTCCTACTGCCATTCTAAAATCAGCCATCTAGGGCTTGACCCTGAAGTTCTTACAAGCAAAAACTTTTACTGGCTTCACTATAGTTTTTGTCTGAATGTTAAGGGTCGGTCCCCAAAAGCAGGGGTTCCCAAACTGTGCTACTCATACCCCTGGGGGTACACGAGACATCTTGGGGGGGAAGGGTGGTACAGTGCAGGTTCAGTTGCTCAGCAACAGTCAAGCCTAATCGAACTCAGAACTCTTTTAGGGGTTGTTTTTTTTTCGGTTGTATAGGTCACACAATAACTATATCTGTACATAACGGTGAAATATGGACAGATGGCTAAAGACAGGTAGTGTTAAGAAGAACACACAATATCAGTGATGAAAAGGGTAGGGATATGTGGGCAGCTGGTAGATCTGGAAGGAGGTATGCAATAAGAAAAGTTTGGGAATCTCTGTCCTAAAGGATACTGAAGGCAGACATAAAAGAGAATCAAGTCCAGAATCTTATCCACTAAGCCACTGGACCACACTAGACAGTTATATTGATTTGTATGTAATGGATAACTGGGAAATGAACACATTCAGCTCAGTTTCACAAATATTCAGTTACAATAAGTCGTTTAATATAACTTCACTTGGACAATAAATACGATAATTTCCAGGAGATCAAAATTCACTTCTTTAATTTAACTATTTAGAAAGTTAAACAATGGAAGATTTCACAACATAATTTTTATTTACATGATTTACTGTGAATATTTTAAATACCAGCTTGTGAAGCTACACAAGGATGTACCTCTAAACTGACACAGCAGAATACTGTCAAAACGTTTCTTTAACCTGGAAGCAATGCATTTTTAACAATTCAAACCATTTCAAGTTAATGTTGGATAGTACAACTGTACTTAATGAAGCTGCTCACAAAGACTCCATATTTTACTGACTAGTCACTGCTGAGTGAAACATTTTGAAGAACAGTTCTCCTGGTAAAAAGAGAGCCTTTTAAATTAATGACTCTGCTTAAGCATTAGGAAGCCACTCAATGCCAACAGTTCCATCTGTAGTAGTAAGTCATTTATAGATCTGAGAGTCCAGGCTGCTGCACACTGTTCTAGCCTCTGAATATAAACGGCAAAAAAATAAGTTTATCAGATACGATGACTTTCAATGCTGTAAATCCTGATAACAAAAAGCACAGACATTGCACCTCAAGCCATCATTAATGAAGAAAGTGGCACTTCTCTTTTTTGGGCAAGTGAACTTGGTTTTCTTCATTTTCATTCTCAAGACATTCCATATAATACTACTACTTAAAAGCATTTAACATTCATGAAATTAACTTCAAGAGAAAGAATGTTCACGTTAAACAGAGCACCAACTTATTCCGTATATTTATTCATTAGTGAAATTTTATGAAAAACTAAGTGTTTAAACATTAGTTCTGCTAACAGCGGTCATAATTGTAATTTAAAAATAAAAGTTTAATTTGTAAAGTTTGATCAAAGCTATGGTTCAAAGAGCAAAATTTTATACATTCTGTGCAACATCCCATTTCCTTCTAGTGCATAAGTCCATGTCTGCAGTTATGCAGCTGCGATAGAAGTATCATCAGCTTGGCGACCTTGTGGCTTTAAAGAAAAAGAAGAGTCAGTATAAAGATTATATATGGTTATGAAATTCATCTAGCAACATCATCATAAATGAACAGGATGCTACAATGTATAATCAGTGCTGTATCTTTCCTAACTTCAAAGTACTTCTAATGGCAGCAAAAAATATTGTGATGTTATCTACATTCAAGTCTTCTAACTCTCCCAGCTGCCTCTATAAGCTTTTCAGGGCATCCGATGAAGTGAGCTGTAGCTCACGAAAGCTTATGCTCAAATAAATTGGTTAGTCTCTAAGGTGCCACTAGTACTCCGTATCTTTATATATGTCTTATAGCACCTAGCATAGGGCCTGACCCCGACTGGACTCTCTGGATACTGCTGCAATACAAAAGTTATGTTGATAATGATGCTGATGGTAAATACATGCATGAAACAGGAACAGCCCCAGAAGGTTCTAGGATAAGTTTGAAGCAGGGTCCCTGGGGAAAAGGAGTATTTTAAGAGGAAAAGCATAGCTGTGCACAGGAGCACACAAGAACGAACGTTGGGATTCGGATGACCCAGAAGAAGAGAAGAAAGGAATTAAAAGCCTAGGGAGGTTCTCTTGTAAATGCTCAGAACTCCTTTCCCTGGAGGGAGCAGACCTTTGTGTTGACCTAACAGCAAGTCTTGATGACTGATCTAGGAGACACATTGACTGACAGTGTGTATAAATAATAAATTCCACCCAGCCCTCTTAGCTGCAGTAAAATTGGAGGAATGCAAAGCCTGTTTTCAGGGAACAGAGAGAGGATTATAGATGTTCGAACAAGCCTTTCTCAAAGACACAAAGGAACACTTCAGGCCTCTCACCCCCTGCTTATGCTCCAATAGGAAAGGTTAACACAAGATCCTGTAAAGGAAAGACACAAGGCTAGCTAGCTAGCATTGTTTTGTGTAAAAAGTTTTAAAATAAGTGGGAAAGGGCCAGAAAGATTGCATAAAACCTGTTTGGCATGATATGATTGAAAATTGCGTTTCATCCCAAGGTATTCATAACATCTGAGTAGCTGCAACATTGTAGAAAAAATCTATCACCATAAATTTCATGTGCGCTTAGATCTTCTATCTCTAATAGTAAATTAGGTTCAGAAATATTCTGGAACCCCACAAAACCCTAAAACCCATCACATGATGAACACCCACTTCACTCTTTGCAATCAATTCTCACTTGAGTAATATAAATATAAGATGGGTGGCAGATAATAAATGAAAACTTGGAAATATTCTAACCAAATGCAGCTCCACCAATACTCAAATGCAGACAGAATTTTAATTGCATGACTATTATCCTTCTAGTCACAAGATATTATCCAAATGTTCTGCAAAATGGATAACATCCTGTGACCAGGAAGATAACAGTAATTCTGGATGGTTTTAAGAGCAAAGTGCCTGTTGCTCATATAGAGCCCAGTCCAGCACTGTGTCGTGCCTGAGCAGATTGCTGCACCCACACAGAGCTCCAGGGAAGTCCACGGTCTCCATATACACACAGCATTGTGTCTGTGCATCTTAAAGCAAGACAAGCCTGCTCTCTAGTTAACTGTCCATTCAGTTAATCGGCTAAGCGTAGAGCTGGGGTTTCAGTTCTCAAAAGCAAAATAAATCCCAAGTAAGTTCTGAAAGAATTCATTCATTATAAAGGAGCCAAAAGCCTCCATTAGAACCGTACCTTTACAAAAATGTGCGTTGGTATGAATCGTCTGAGCAACTGATTAGTGAAGTTTGGGATCCGCAGCAAGATATTAAGAGATGGTAACTGCTGATATCCAGCCATGAGAGGGTAGAAGTTATATAACATTTCCTGCTGTGTGCCAGGAAGGATTCGCAATCGTATCTAAAATCATAAATAATTCCAGGAAAGAAAACTGTTTACATATATTAAACATTTGCACACTCCAAAGTTAAAAATAATTCTGTCAAATATTCACTTTGATCGGTTTGACTAAAAAACACATTATTCAAAATATTACAACTTTCTTTTCTACCCAACTGCACACACTGTATCATATGATCAATATGAATGTTCTTAACCTATCCAGAAAGGCATAACTAGACACTCCTAAGATGACTTATTTTCAGTCCTCCTAAGATTAAAAAAAAGCTTTGGACGTGCATGTTCCTCCAGATGTATTGCTCATTCTTCAGTTCACCAGGTCTTAAGGATGAGTATTTACTAAATAACTCTAGGGCAATTTGATCTATAGCAGAGTTGATAGTAAGCTAATAGGCTATCAACAGGTAACAGTTGAAAGTCTACCATTCACTTAGGGTTGCCCATATTTGTTACATAGTGTACTGTGTTTCTTTCTAAGTCACTTGATGTAAATTTCACAAGCCTTGTTTTGGTAGACAGAAATTTAACGGAGCTGGGAGACAGATTTGTTCTGAATACAGTTACAATTAATTTGTTTTTAATATTTATTTTCCGGTTTTACAGTAAAGTTACATTAAAAACATTTAATTTTTAAATACAATTTATATAATCTAAAGCAGTGGTTTTCAACCTGTGGTTGGCGGACTGTGGGAGCTCTGCAGACTATATCTAAGGGGTCTGCAAAAGGTTGTTGTTACCATAGAAGAGTGGTTTCCAAAACTTGGGGTCCAAAGACTATGTTTAAGATTTCCAGAGGGATACACACTCTTTTGTATCCAGAGGGATACACATACAAATTTTTTTTAGGGGTTCACAAATGAAAAAAAGGTTGAAAATCACTAATCTAAAGAGTATGTTGAAGTCTATTAGAATAGTTTAACAGTGGTGTGAAAAGTATCATCATGCAGTAGTGACAAAGAGGACAATTTGTACCTGTTTAAGACCTGAAAACATGAAGGCATCGCTTGGCTCCACTGATATTTCCACATCCTGGACTAAACTGGTCTTGTTTTGCAAGTGATATCTGACAGGCAAGGATTCTCTGACTCGACCAAATGATGGCAGATCTTTGGAGACAAAGGGAATGAATATAAAGGTTACATAATCTGATATGTAAATAAACGTCTTGGTTTCACATACAAAAACCAAATCTGACTCAATAAAAGTAGAAAGGTCTGCAAAAAGTGGCTATTATCTATAGTACATCTGATCAAATGTTTCAGGAACAAATCATTAAAAATTTTATAAGTTTTCAAATACAACAGAATCAGCTCTAACATTAGAAAGCAATGAAAGATATCAGAAATTACTGTTACAAGACTAGTTCTATGCATCACAATATCACTAATTTGCACTAATTGAGGGGGCGAAGAAGGAGTACAAGTATGGATTAGAATAACTAGAGAAAGGGCAGGTATTGCATGGGCAGGGCTTTCCCTTCCAGCCCTGTTCTTACAGGAGAAATATGGTCATCCCAAGTCTGTGGCAATGAAGGACAAACGTGTGCCTATGTACCAAATTCTGCTCTGAGATGTACTTATGGGGTTTCACGGCCTTGAGTGAACACTCCATGCATGCAGCCCAGGGTTAAATATTTCATGCATGTTAATATTACCTGCATTAACATGGAGTGGGATGCTCTCTACAATCACATGTGGTAGAGTGATCACAGTACAAACCACAGGTACACTTTCCACAGCTGAACTCCTATCAAAGAAAACAACACATGTAGACTCCACTTATATTCTTGACATTAAGTCACTAAGCCAACAGAATACTGGGATCAAGCAGCAAACTAACAAGCAATAGTTACAGCAATCCCAACAGTTCAAAAAGGTGAAAAGTGTTAGCTGAATGTTTTTATTACAATAATCTTGTAAAAAGATGTTAAAATCTAGAGAAGACAGATGTACCTTACAATATCTGCTCTAAAAACAAACCCACATATTGACTGAGGTGGGAAAAATATTAGGGTCATTTATTTTTTCCGTTTGACCATTTAAAACATTACTTTTTATACAGCTGAAGTGTTCTTTAACTTGTCTTTCTTCCTCCCCTCCCCACATGTGAAGTACTCATTGGCTTTAGAAAACTGAAGAACTAGTGTAGGAGATCACACAATTGAAAACTTAATACAAATTTAAATATCACCATTTAGATGCAATTTCAGCAGTACGCATTTTTAAAAATGGCTCTTACCGCTTTCACCCAAGATGATGCCACTGTGAGGATCAGTAAGGGAAGAAGAAAAAGCAAAATATATCCTCCCTACCACTCCCACCCTACGAAAAGTCATGAACTGCTTTAAAAATAACCAGACAAGGAATCCCTACCTTTTCCAGGAGATTACATAACGTCCGGTAGCCACTCCACTTTGACCATTAGTAACTGGTGGACACCGAAGGCAAAAGCATTCACTAGCACTCTCGCCTGTCTGCAAAACAACTATCAGCAATATTCTGTTTAATTTTAAAGTAAAAGACACTGAAAATTAGCACAGAAACCATCCAGATCTGAAAAACTAAAATTAGTAATACATACAGATTTTATATATAAATTTTAGGAATAAAGGTGTTGTATATATGCAATATATACAATCTGAGGGACTCCCAACTAATTCACAAACTGTACATGCAAACATTAGAGATAATAAGGTGCTCAGACAGCACAGAATTGGGGCCTGCAACATGGTATGCGGTCCCTGTGAGTAGAGCTAGGCCCAGTGCCCGTGTAGAGCAACTGAGCCCAATCCAGCCAATTAAAAGAGGCTGGGCTACACCTGGACCTATAAAGGCAGGAAATGAGATGGGGAGGAAAAGTGACCGAGACAGGTTGTGCCTGGAGAAGGGAAGCCACAGTGGAGTGGAGGTAACTCCGGTGGTGGGTCCCTGGTGCAAGAGGCCAGGTGCTCTGGGAAGCTCCAGAAAGGGAGCAGAGCTAACTAAAGCCTGGTCTACGCTACAAAGTTAGGGTGAGGTAAGGTGCCTTGTGCATGTGTCTACACTTAAATGGGTCTCCCACTGACGTAAGTGGCCTCTTATGCTGACATAGTAACACCACTTCCCCGAGCAGCATTGTGCCAAGTTTAATATACAGAGGTCAACACGGCACACAGACACTGCAGTACAGTAACTCCTCACTTAAAGTCGTCCCGGTTAACGTTGTTTTGTTGCTGATCAATCAGGGAACATGCTCGTTTAAAGTTGTGCAATGCTCCCTTATAACGTTGTTTGGCAGCCACCTGCTTTGTCCACGGCTTGCAGGAAGAGCAGCCCGTTGCAGCTAGCTGGTGGGGGCTTGGAACCAGGGTGGACCAGCAGTCCTGTTATCAGTTCCCCACTCCCCTAAGTTCCCTGTGCAGCAGCTGTCCAGCAGGCTACCAACTTCCAGAAGTTCAGCTGTCCCTCCCCCCACTGCCATGTGGTGCTCCTGCCCTCTGCCTTGGAGTTGCTCCCGCGAACCTCCTGCTTGCTGTGCAGGGGAAAGTGGGAGGGGGACTAATGTCAGGGTGTCCCCCTCCCTCCTGCTCCTGCCCCCCCGCTTACCCCTTCGCCATATAGAAGCAGGAGAGACACAAGAGGGCTCAGGGCGGAGAGAGCTGGCCGCAGCTATTTCAACTTCCTGATCTTTTTAAAGGCAATGTACTTAGAGTGTAGTGTCGGCGTACTTAAAGGAGCAATGCGCATCTCTTGCTCTCTCTCTCACACATGCACACACACACACAGGGTGTGTCTCCATCTGCCATGCTGTCTCCCCTCCCTCCATTCGCGCTGCCTTGTAGAGTGTGAGGCGACATTAACAACGTGTTAACCCTGGAGGGCTCAGCCAATTGCTAGTTCATCATTTAGCAGTAAGGCATTCCCTGGGAAATATCCCACCCTCTTCCACCTTCTGACTCCACCAACTCAACCAAGCTTCACAATCATTGTTGCTGTGTACAGCATTAAATTGTTTAAAACTTAGAGAGAGAGAAAATATATATTATATAGTTTTTTGTCTGGTGAAAAAAATTTCCCTGGAACCTAACCCTGCCCATTTACATTAATTCTTATGGGGAAATTGGATTTGCTTAACATTGATCCTGAAAAATGTGATTTTAAGCGAAACAAACTACAACATTAAGCAGAGGAGTTCCTGTACCTATGTCGACCCTAACAGTCCTCCAGCAGCTTTCCCACCATGCCCCAGACTGACTGTTTTGTTGCCATTGTGAACTCTACTGCCCAAGAATCACAGAGGCCTCCAACCCAGTGGAAAGGTTTCCCCCTTGGCTTCACAAATATTACGCAGGACAGAGCAGGCAGCTATTACCATTGGGATATTTTTCTCACTGAAGTCCAATCTTGTGCATAAACAATGCCAGCATCCCGTCAATCGACCAAAAGAACATTCAGCAGTCATACTGCACCTGCTGAGCTGGAAGCTGAACTGTTCCCTTGGTGCTGTCAAGGTGGCTGGTGTATGGCTTTATAAGCCCGGCAAGCAACAGGTAGCCTGCAGATTACTGTTGGGAATGTTGAAATGCCAATAGTGATCCTGGCATTTCAACATTCCCAACAGTAATTGGCCAGTTGAGAAACAGTTCCTCCTTGCAGCTTTCTGAACAGTCCTGTGTTCTTAAAGATGTAAGCCTTATGCACCTTCCCTGGCCAGCCCACACGGACATTGGTCAAGCGTCCCTGGTGATCCACCAATGCTTGCATAACCATAGAAAAGTATCCCTTTATATTGATGTACTCTTTTGCAAGGTAATTTTGTGCCAAAATAGGGATACGAATGCCATCTATTGCTCCACCGCAGTTCGTGAACCCCACTGCTGCAAATCTCTCCACTATGTCCTTTACATTGCTGAGAATCACAGTCCTGTGCAGCAGGAGGCAATTACTGGCCCTGCACACTTGCATGACAGGGGCTCCCACGGTGGATTTCCCAACTCCAGACTGTTAGTGGTCAGTTTGGAATCAATCTGGTGTTTCAAGTTTCCACACTGCAATCACCACTCGCTTATCCACTGTCAGCACAGCTCTTATTTTTGGTCCCTGCACTGGAGAGCTGGGGCAAGCTCAGCCCACAGATCCAGGAATGTTGCCTTGTGCATCTGAAAAGTTCTGCAGCCATCCCAAGCCTGAATGACAACACAATCCCACTAGTCAGTGCTGGTTTCCAAGGCCCAGAAGTGGCGTTTCATCATCCGCAGCTTCTCTGTGAATGCCACCAACAACCTTGAGTTGGTTCTTGCTATGTCCTACAGCAATCTGTCCTACAAGAAATTATTATGTTCCCCACTTATTCAGTTCTTCTTGCAGCTCTGAAAATACTGCAGGATCACATGCCCCGTGTTTCAATGCTCAGGACAATAGTGCAGAGCTGTGCAAGCTCCATGCTTCTGTTGGAGATAGAGAGCGAGGAGGGCCCCACGGATTTGTGGGATTTTGAAAAAAGGCATGAAAATTATGGGATACAGATGACATTAGGGGGATGGATACAATAGCAAACTGGAAATTTGACCTCACGCTCCCAGTCACCCCAGTGCAACTCCTTTCAGCCCCACCATGCATTGAGAATACTTCCCAAAGACCATATGCTAGACGGTCGCAGGTTGCATACTGGGATACCTATCCATGATGCACTACACTGTGCATTAATACAAGAACACCTGGTGAGTACACGCACCGCTGACACAATGAGCCAACCATACATACACACAAGCAACACACTAACTGCAGCAGCTTTATGCCGACATAACTTGTGTCAATGTAAGTTTGAAGTATGGACATGGCCTAAGATTGAGAAGCTGCCAAGAGCACCAGAGGTCTCTGGCATGAGTGACCCTGAAGTCCGAGGCAAAGGAGTGAGTTAAAAGACTCTTTTGTTTGTTTTAAAAAAAGAAACTTTCTTAAAAGGAGACTGGGCAGTATGTGCTTGGGAGCTGGGGAGAAGCCCTGCTCTGTGACAGGGCCACAGAAATATGATGATTTGATGGATGATAGAGAACCTTCTGAACCGAACCATGGAATCTCTAATATCTACACAGAGCATACAGAATCTCAAAGTCACATTCAAAAGAGTAAACTGCACAGTACAGCTGATTAAGACTCAGGAATCCCTTTCTGCTGTAAATGCAAAAAATTTGAAATGTTTTTGTTCGGTTTCAGAACCTAAAGTAGAAATTTTGACATTTGCTGCAGAAGGTAAATTGTTTTTTGTTTGTTTTTTTTGAGGAGGGGGCGGGGTGGGACGGGACACAAACTGGTTTGTTTTGGAAGTTTCTAACCAAAATTTTAAAAAGGGCTTTTTCATATTTTATCTTATTTTTAAACTGTTTTCTTTTTTAAATTAGTTCAGTTTTATTTTTAAAATTATTAACTGCTGCTATTTAGAGCTCTTATTGTATTTTCTTGTTCAAAGTAAGACATGCATTCAGGGTACTAAAAAACAGCAGCTACTTAAAAGTATATAATTTTAAAATAAAATAAAAAGCCACAGGAGCCAGGGCTGCCAGGCTTCCAGGGAAGGTAGCTTCCTTAATTACCTTGGGAGCCAGACAGGGAGTCCTGGCTGAGCTGTGAACCATGGAAGCCACTGCTCTCCAGCAGCCAGCTAAGTGGGCTGTGAGGGGAGCTGGGGAAACCGGTTGGCAGGTGGGCTGGCCTGCCAGCCGGGTTTCTGTTGAAAGTTTCAACATCGATTCCATGAAATCAACGTTTTTCAACCAAAAACTGCAGTCAACATTTTTGAATGCTCTACTGCACAGTCCTCAATTTATCTTTCTGCCTCAGAAGGATGGCGAACATTATTGTTTAACTACAAGATATTCTAATAAGGCAGTATTCAATACAGGATGGAGAAACTTCTTGCATATTCTTTGTAGGCGAGTCTGAATAGATTCACACACTATTTCATTCATGTGTGTAATCTTATGTATGGACTTGTTTACATTTCATTCTATAGAGACATATGTAGTACATGAAAGCCAAAAACTGTCTAATGCCTCTAATCCAATTCAGATCTGCCACTATCTAAATCAGATTTTTCCATGCTTCTCCATACCAAAAATAACCAGGAACAGCTGAATAGGATACAGAGTTTCACTTTTAAACTTTAATTTTTTTCCCCTTTGTGAGTTCAGCTCAAAGTGCTAACATTACTTCAAATAACTTAGAGAAACTCCAAATGAATTTGTCAATAAGGTATTAAAATGTATTTCTTCCCAATTCCCACTCCATCCTTCTCAAAAAAATCTTATTTAAGAAGAAAGAATAATCTAAATTCTCACCATTCTCCACAAAAGATTCCAGTTGGTCTACTGGTACCATGGAAGCCGAAAGTTGTAGCTGGCTATTTATAATAGTGAGAGCCCAAGGTGAAGCACTCAGAATGTCTGTCATCAGTAAAAAGGGTATGTCTGCAAAGACTCTGTCTAAATGTTCAAACTACCAAGAGAAGAGAAAGAATGTGTCACTATTTTAGTGGTCAAATTTGGTTTACTCAGATTTTTATGATTCTAAGATATGTCGATCAATTTTCTAAACACATACCTTTGAAGAAACAAATTTAACAGCAACATCAAAGGGAAATACAGTTTCTATAGTTACAGTTTCATCCTGCATGGAGGGGGAAAAGATTGTATTAAATTTCAAATCTAGATATTGACATCAGATTACAGGTAAGAAGTTATTACAGGGAACTGCATTCATCACCACCTGCCCCAGCCCTCTCCAGGACAACATCTGCTTTGGCTCTCCCCTAAACGATGGGCAGACAAAGCAACTATGGCTATTGGGGACTGCAGAAGTCAATGCTTTTCCTTTCTTGGATATACTTGTGAAGATGCTCATTCAATGCCTGGGCATTTTATTCCCTTATAAGCTATACAGTTATAAGAAAAAATTATGCTGATTATTAATTCATTAAATAGGTCATGTTTGAAACGGAATTAAATAAAGTGTAAAATAAAATGTTGATACCATACCTATTCTCAATAAAATTCCCTACAATAAATTTAAACACTAAGGGTCACTGTCAACTTAAACAAAAGCAAAACACCGCACTTTGGTCCAAACATTCCTCCCTCTCCCACAGTAATTATGGCAATCTGTTACAAGGAACATCTAAGAGATGAGAGAAACTAATTTATTTTATTTGTACAGTTTTACTCTGAGTACTTAAGACATCAACATGGGAGGAAAAAAACTTTTCAGAAGTAGGAAAATTGTATTTGAAAACAAATTGGCAGGTGACTATGGAATAAGAAGCTACTTTTCGCTTTTCCCTGGATTAAAAAAATTTCAGTTCGACAGTGTCCCTCTAAGGTTCAGTGATAGTTCCATGTACTGGTGCTATTCCAGATATACAACTCTGCTGGTACAACATTAAGTTTAAGGAATAACACATGATTTTATATTCCTCTACACTTGCCAGAAGTTGGATCACCTCAAAAATATTGCTTCTTGTGTCCATTTATTCTTCTTTATCCCTCCAATCCTGCCCCTTAAGCCTTTCCTCTTTCAATGTCAAAAAAGCAACATTTCCGCAAGATGGCCCACGTAGACTCCTGGCTTTGTATTGGGAATTATCTGTCAAGGCAACATGGTGTATCCTTCTCTTTACTCAGAAAGCAACCATATCACCCCTGGGCTAAGCATTTCTCCTAGGGCAGAAGCTAAATTATGGGTTTCTCTTTTACACAATCTCATATGACAGCCCTGTGTGCTGCATTTCCACCTTATTTTGGATATGATGTACATTTTAGGAGTATGAAAGTGAATACATTTTAAATATGTTTGGCAACATTATCTAATTAATCCATTTAGTACTATTCTACAAAGGGTACCATTGAAATTAGGCTTGCTCTTAAAATCACACACAAGTAATCTGAATCCCTTAATCATTTCATATATTAACTAACATGAAATGAAGAGTCATTCCAAAGTGCTGAACTCAATAGATCATACCCTGTGGCACTTGCAGATTAGCTCTTTTTCCTCAACCGTAGCACTGATTAAATAGGAAACATAGACCAGAAACATCCTGGTACCAACTGTTCCACAACGAATGTATACTGCTTTTTCCAGCTGTGAAATATAAAGATGAAATTAGTTAAATAGTACTAAAAATGCAACCAGCAGGTCCAGAGCTGCCCTTTCATTCATTTCGCGTACCTCAGCTAACACAGACTAGGGGAACCACAATGGACAACAATTGCTTGTCTTCAGCACTGGCTACTGGCAGCATAAAGTGTGACACCAATACAAGAGTAGCACTGCTCTGGCCATTCCACTACTCATGTTCTCCTGCTATTTACAGTAGTAGGCTGGAGCCATTACTAAGCATCATTTGCCATAACAAGCCTATGATTTACTAGCTATTAGTTCAAACTAGGGCTGTCGATTAATCACAGATAACTCACGCGATTCACAAAAAAATTAATCGCCATTAAAAAAAGTGAATTGTTACTAATCGCAGTTTTAATCTTACTCTTAAGCAATAGAATACCAATTGAAATTTATTAAATATTTGGGATGTTTTTCTACATTTTCATATATACTATATTCTGTGTTATAATTGAAATCAAAGCATACATTATTTTTGATTACAAATATTTGCACTGTAAAAATGATAAACAAAAGAAATAGTATTTTTCAATTCACCTCATACAAGTACTGTAGTGCAACCTCTTTGTCCTGAAAGTGCAACTTACAAATGTAGTGTTTTTTTTGGGTTACATAATTGCCCTCAAAAACAAAGCAAAGTTCACTCAGTCCTACTTCTTGTTCAGCCAGTCGCTAAGACAAAAAAGTTTGTTTACATGGAAATAATGCTTCCCTCTTCTTATTTACAATGTCACCAGAAAGTGAGAACAGGCATTTCTTTGGCACTTTTGTAGCGGCATTGCAAGGTATTTACGTGTCAGATATGCTAAACATTCGTATGCTTCTTCATGCTTTGGCCACCATTCCAGAGGACATGCTTCATGCTGATAACACTTGTTAAAAAAATAATTCTCCTCCGGGGAGAACTGTATGTCCCCTGCTCTGTTTTACTCGCATTCTGCCATATATTTTATGTTCTAGCAGTCTCAGCTGATGACCCAGCACATGTTCGTTTTAAGAACATTTTCACTGCAGATTTGACAAAACACAAAGAAGGTACCAATGTAAGATTTCTAAAAATTGCCACAGCACTCGACCCAAGGTTTAAGAATCTGAAGTGCCTTCCAAAATCTGAGAGGGATGAGGTGTGGAGCATGCTTTAAGAAGTCTTAAAAGAGCAACACTCCAATGCAGAAACTACAGAACCCGAACCACCAAAAAAGAAAATCAACCTTCTTCTGGTGGCAGATGATGAAAATGAACATGCATTGGTCCACACTACTTCGGATTGTTATCGAGCAGAATCCGTCATCAGTATGGAAGCATGTCCCCTGAAATGGTGGTGAAGCATGAAGGGACATATGAATCTTTAGCGCATCGGGCACGTAAATATGTTGCAACGCCGGCTACAACAGTGCCAAGAGAATGGCAGTTCTCACTTTCAAATGACACAGTAAACAAGAAGTGGGCAGCCTTATCTCCTGCAAATGTAAACAAACTTGTTTGTCTGAGCGATTGGATGAACAAAAAGTAGGACTGAGTGGACTTGCAGGCTTAAAATTTTACACTGTTTTATTTCTGAATGCAGTTGGTTTTTTGCCCATAATTCTACATTTGTAAGTTCAACTTTCATGATAAAGAGACTGCACTACAGTACTTGTATTAGGGGAATTGAAAAATACAATTTCTTTTTTCTTTTTAAAGTGCAAATACTTGCAATCAAAAATAAATAAAAAGTGAGCACTGTACACTTTGTATTCTGTAGTGTAATTGAAATCAATATATTTGAAAATGTAGAAAACATCCAAAAATACTTAAATAAATGGTATTCTATTATTGTTTAACAGTGCGATTAATGGCAATTAATTTTTTTAATCGCTTGACAGCCCTAGTTCAAACCACATGAGTTTTAATGTATTGCTGTGTGGAGAAGATGTAGGAAGACAATTACTCTCAGTAGCAGACATCAGCTGCTCTCCGTTTCATGAGCCCAATCCTTCTCTCTTCCTACTACCACCAAAAAATCAGTACGTGTCACTCAACTCTGCATCCTTATGAGATTTAGCACTCAGGCTACTAACAAATTATCAGTACAGTCTACAGCGCTTGCAGTGTGCATTTACAGAAGATAGAGTGACTCTATATTTGCAATCAAAGTCAACCCAAAACCAGAAGAACTAGTGCATCCTGAATTCATTCTCCTCTTTCAAAGTGCAGAATGAAAATTGAACATTTCCTTTATCCTGTTCCTTCTCTTTAGCTTTATATTACAATATGAAATCCCTCTAATGTCCACTCTCTGCCAACAACCTTAACAATTCTGTGAGACTCTTCAGCATGCTCAGGTACTTAAATACGCAGCTGAGATAACATTAATAAAAAAAATTTCTGTCTGTCAAAATTAAGTTTGTGTTAAAGGATTCACAGTTGAGATCTAATTAATATATTCCAATGAGGCTGATCTGTTCACCCTCAAACCCACTCCATTGAACTAGCCCATAGAACTAAAATGTAAGGAGGAAGTCAAAGGCTCATCCTTTGAATAAAACGACTGCTGCATTAGATAGAAGCCCAGATACTAGGCATCATCACATCTGAAACTAAAAATTCTGGTCCTTCTGACATCTGTATGAAAAAGTCTTCTTACTAGCTAATGCTCATTTTCAGTTAGCTATTAAACATTTTCTTAATTGGAGTGGGGGTAGCAATTAGATTCACCTTTTCTCCTGGCTGTAAATCTCCTACAGGGATATCAGGAAGCAATGCAGGATAAGAATCATCACAGATTTCTGTTCCATTAAGGGTCACATGAGTTTTCTGAGTCAGATTGGCATCTTGCCCTAGGATACAAACATTCTGTTTTTATACCCACAAAGTTATTCTGTTAATTTATATGTTGTTTATCACTGTGGCAAACAGGCACTATTTATGAATATTAAAGTATGCATCAAAGAAAACAATCACCACTGCTACCAGACATATCTCAACCAAATGAGCAACAACCAGTGGGAAGGCTCGCACTTCTATGGTCTTTGGATTAGACTCTGCATGAGCTTGTATTATAATATATAGACAAATGCATTTTTGCAGTTATCCGTACAAAGCAAAGTGTATTTCTCAACCACTACTGTCATCAGTAGGTATAACATCAAGAATTCAAAATCCAAACTAACAGTGTGTAACTATGTGAAGCTACCTGGAATATAACTGTTACCCCGTGAGGAACACCGGCCACAATCCTGCAGCCACAATCCTGCTCCCATAATTTCAAATGGGACAAGATTGGTCCCATGTTGTCCAGCAGAAAAATACATTAGATTTAAATGTAATTCTGTCATTAGAACTTGCTGCAGCTCAGCTGGAAAAATCTACAATCCGTTTGTTGTCAAAAGTAACTTGACAGTATTGTTAGATCACTAGAAAATTCTTTTAAATCCCTCCTTAAAACCTGAACTTTTTTGTTGATGCCTACAAAACATTACTGTCTAATATTGGTTAAGCTGGCAACCACCTGCAAATGAGACCTTTGTTACCGCATATTTCTTCATACACATCCACTATAGTCCTGTCCACCTCTTAACCCCCATCCTATTTAGCTGTTAACTGACCTATCATGATTTGTGTAAATCCTAGATTTAGATTGTGTGCTCTCTGTAGCTCTGTGTTAACTCTTTGTACAATAACTAGGACAATAGGACCCTTAAGATGCTACCATGACAGAAATAAATACCTGGTTTTAAACCTGCTGTGAGCTTCACATCTTTGGCAACTGTCTTCTCATGTGACTGGACTGTCACAATCAAACAATACATTTCATTAGTCAGGGCAGGAGGTTCATGCTGGAGTTGAACAGAAATATTTGGCACTCTAGAAATGATCCTTTAATCAAAGAAAAAAAAGAAAAAAAAAGAAAAGGTTAGTTACTCCACATTTCTTGGATGGCTCAATTTTTAGTCCATTTTAATTAGGGTTAAAGTTGCCTGTTGCTCAAGTGAGAACTCCAGAGAAGGTAGACTAGTGAAACAGGATATCTGAAATGCCTGAAAATCAGTGGCACAGAACCCTGGCACAGATCCTATTAAAAATGACTGGGGACCCACTAAGAGTTGGGAGCTCACATTTGTGTAACCAGAGATGCAGAATCCCACGTTAAACAGCAAATGTTGTGAAAGTGAAAATTTAATTCTTCCGAAAATGTCCAGTTAGTATTAAAGTTAGTAAATAAACTAAAAATTATATCCTTGTATAGCATTTTCAGGACTCTTTGTGTATTTATATACGGCTGTAAATAACTCGTTTGTTTTACCTGGAAAAAAAATGGGACAGGATGAATAGAAGGGTACTAAAGCCTGTTTGGTCTATCTTTGGGCCATGACAAATGAGATACTGAGATCAACCTCTTTTGTAAGCTCTAGCTCTGTTCTTTAAAAATAAAATAAATAATAAATAATAACAATGAAGATTACTGACTGGGGGGGGGGGGCGGGCAGTAGGTATGTCAGAAAATAAATCCTTAAGAGCTACTTATTTTTGTTCAAAAATTTACATTTTAGTTTTTATTTATTTTACAAAGATCCAGTACATATGGGAGATATTTTTGATATGCACCATTATGCATTTTAAACTATTACTTACATAGTGTTTGCCTGAATAGTCAGGCTGTCCCAGTGAACCTCATTATCTGGAAGTTTAGGTTGCCGTTTGAAGGAGCGAGCTGCCTGCAATGCTTCTTGAGATGAAGCAGCATCTCCTCCTCCTCCACGCCAATTCAGAATCACACATCTGCCAGTATCGGTGCCCAGGATTAAATCCACAGAGGTGATCTGAAACATGTTTATTCAGATAAAGTTTTTTCCCCCCCACCATCCTCCAGTCATTTTGCAGAACACACGCACGCAAGTGCACACACACACACACACACACACACAAACATATCCCTAAAACTGCTTGCAGCACAGGAGATTAAAATCTCAACACACTGGCTCTGCAGTCCAGGCAGTTTCACCTAAGCAACTGTGGCAGTATGGGGATGCATATGTGCAGATATATATTTCTGTACGCACACACGCTCTCCTTCAGTATGAAGCTCTTGGCATTTTTCACTCCCTCCTGTCTCTTTTTCTAATCAGTTTTTTGAAGTGGGTGCCAAGAAATCTAAGTTTTTGTGATTTGCTTTGTAGAAACAGTTTTATAAAAAAATACTTCAATTGTTAAATACCAAAAGCAAGCAATGCAATCTTACTCTCAAACTTGTAATGCTATTTACAAAACAAATTACATTTAAATATACACAATACTGTGACATTATGACTAGTAAAGAATTGCAGTCACCCGTGCAATTTTGAGCTTTAAGAGCCAAACCTGTGACTCTAGATAACTAACCTCAATCTTCTTTCCCACATCTTCACTTTTTGCAACAAATCTGAAAGTGAATTTTCTTGTTTTACCAGGGACTAGGCACACTGGTCCCTGGGATGAATATTCCAGAATATCACTTTTCTGATATGCTTCTTCTACCACACAGTACTGATTGTATTCCTATAGCAAGTGAGAAAAATTAAGTTATCTATATAATGAATGTTGACAATCTGTGTTACTGGACTAAAGTTTCAGAGTAGCAGCTGTGTTAGTCTGTATCCGCAAAAAGAAAGGAGTACTTGTGGCACCTTAGAGACTAAAAAATTTATTTCAGCATAAGCATCCGATGAAATGAGCTGTAACTAAATGTGATAGTCTCCAAGGTGCCATAAGTACACCTTTTCTTTTTGCGGATACAGACTAACACGGCTGCTACTCTGAAACCTGTCATTATGCAAGGCACTGAATTTAGCCGTACGGAGTGGAAATCTATCAAACTTCATGAAGGAATGCATCCGATGAAGTGAGCTGTAGATCACGAAAGCTTATGCTCAAATAAATTTGTTAGTCTCTAAGGTGCCACAAGTACTCCTTTTCTTTTTGTGGACTAAAGTTGAAATCCTGTTAGAGCTCTCTGCTTGTCATACTAGTGAACAATTAGTGTTATGGATCATAAACCTAATGTGTTTAGGCAACTGATAGATAAAAGTTTATTTAGGATAAAAAGTTTCCTCTAACAAGTAGTCTCAATAGTAGTGAATAATTTTACTTTGCAGTAATTAAAGTGCAATTATCCTAGTTAATGTAACATAGAGAAAGTCTTATTTGTAATTCTAGATTATTTTAAATGTGTTTAATTTCAGAAGTGTTGTTTTACAAGTACCAAGGAGAGAAAAAGATGTATTGTTGTCTCTACTAAATCACGGATGTTTTTATTAAATCAGTATAGTCCTCAGTAGAAGAGTGACAGAGAAGAGGACACTAACAGAAAAATAAAAGGTAAAAGTGGTCCTTTTTCAGTAAATTGGAAAAAGTATAATGAAGCTGCAAGGTTATACTAAGACCCATTACGAGACATTAACTTTCCCCTAACAGATGATCACCACATATGAAACATAGTTACCTGGTTATTGAAGCCGACACATAGTTTAGAAAACCTGATTGGATGAGGACAATCAGCTTTCAAGTAAATATCGAACTCAACAGGAACATCAACATGAAAACTTGGAGCAAGAAACTTTGCTTTGCATTGCACTAGAATTTAAAACAAAAAGATCTTTGTTAAGTTGATAAGACTGTGAAGCTGGAAAACTGAACTCCACCATAAACTCCTACTTCCTGGGTACACCCTGTACATGACACATCTACACAGAACAATCTTTTAGTCCCATCTATTCATAAATATACCAAGGTTAAAATACTGCCCTCCTACATGAAGCTATGTAATACTGGGGACCTACAAAGGGCTTTGAGAGACACAAGGGGACAGAAGTTCAGCAGAACACAGCACACTTTCACTGCAATTATGCAGCTGCTAATGCCTTCCCCACATTCCCCTGTATTTGTGGGGTTTGAGCTAGTACATATCCTTGTTCCCGTCCCTGGGGAGTTCTGTTTCAGAGGTACAGCATCCCCTCTCAGCAGAACTCTCTCTCTTCCACTGTATGTTAGGCTTTCAATGGGTCAGTTGCAGCTCAGAGGATTCTTCCTCAGACAGGGCTCCCAAACTGTTTTTGTCTCAATTACATTTATCCACATCACATCTGGGAGAAGGAGAAAGGGAAAAAATATAATTTGGATTTTCTCACCATCCTCCCACCCCAGTGATGTAGATAAAGAATCAATGGATTTGTTGCCACAAGCTCTAAATGCTGGCAGTTAGAACATGTTTTGCATATTTATTCCTCCTCAGTGGTGTCTACAGCAAATGAGTGCAATTTACAACACCAAAGTATAATTTATTGGGACATAACCATGTTTTAGAAGCTTTGTTACTTACCAAATGGTACAAAATCTTGAACTTCTATTGTAAAAATATTGCTGCCTGCTAGGGAAACGCGGTCAGTCCACAGCTTCTGTGACGTTTTCACAGCAGAAGCATCACAATCAGGTTCAGGATCTGGGCTCTCATTCTATACCCAGACAGAAGATTATAAAATAAAGAATTAATCAGATAATGAAAAATCTTTTGAGCACATTTCAAGCAAGCTAAATTCTACTTGCTTACCATAAGAACTTTAATCAGGTTCTTTTCTATCCGAGACTTCTGGTCCTCTTTTAAAGTGGATGCTAATGAACAAAATTAAGGAAAGCAAACTAAACTACAAAACCAGTAGAATCCCAATCTTTCATCAGTATTAAAAGAAAGTTAGTCCCTGAACTAAGAAACCTAAAGCATTAATCTTCAGAAATCTACAACTTTCATGCAACACTTTCCATGAGAACTTTGGTATTTCCAAATACAAATTCCATTACTTAATACTTTCTATCCATTTTAACTCTTCACTCTTATTCTCACCTCAGCCAATAGGAAGACACTCAATTGTGACAAAATAAATGGTCTCCAAATTCTGGCTACGTGAAGTATTTTAGAGCTTACAAGAAGGAAAAATTCCAAAGAGAATAACGTAATATTCTATGAAGGGAGCAATTTGTTCTCCAAGCATTGCCAATGGTCTCATGTAGTTTCTGCTTATAAGTACAAACAGAATGGTTTGGAGTAGTGGAAGCAACAGGCTCTGATAAGACTGAAAATGGCAGCTGAAAGAGATAGAAAACAAGTGTATTGACAGCAGAAGGACATTGTCCCTTGAAGTAGAGGAAAAGATAGGGAACAGTTAATGAGATCAAGTTAATATGAAGCAGAAAAACTGGAGACAAAACAAAACCAAAAATGATCCAAGAGACTAAAACTACACAACAGAGTTCGGATTATTCCAGTGTAGCCACCATGTAGTAGTTGGCTAGGAGTTAAAAAGTGACATCTTTCTGATATTGTATTCTATACACTATTCTAGTTATGGAGCTTTTGGCCTCATCTTAAAAATGTTATATGCAATTACATCTTCTCCAACCCCCAGTCACTCCCAAACTTTACAGCGCATTAAACTGAAGAGCAAGATGTTCAAGTTTCTATGTTAGAGATAAGGAACCAAATTCAGCTCTGGCATCAGATGTTTCAACTCCAAAGTCGATGGAATTGCACCCCTTACACTGGCATGCATTTGACCTAATGTAAGGTATATGACTGGCACAATGATTTGTGACAAGGTTGAAGACTCAAATACTATAATAACTAGTAGGCATGAGATACATTTCTTTAAAGGATACCTCTACCCAACAGCTCTAGAGAATAAGTAATGTAATCTTTTAATTGTGCCATAAGGTAAGAACATTTGAGAGCTGTGGTCAATATGGAAGCAAGGAGAGTCCACCATCCTTCACTACGGTATTCACACATGACATAATCTAACAGCCTAGAAGAGGAAAAAAGTGGGACAAGTGTACAATTCAGTAAAGTTATGGGTTATGTACTTGATATCCTCTTATATTGTGAGCAATACTGAAGCCAACTCAAACCGATCTTCCGCTCCCCCCTGAAACTCCCCCCAAAAAGTGTAATCAATTACAGATTTACCAATAGAGAGACTCAGACAAAGCTTTATTCCCCCCCCCCCTTTTCTTTTTATTATAGCTGATCAAGAACCTTCTGTAAAATAGATGCAACATATCCATTGGACAGCGAGCACCATTTTAAAAAAAGGATGTTTATTTCACTGTATTTACCTTTGCATAGACACAATAGTAAATGTTATGGTACATGTAATACTTGCAGGTAACATTGTTTCGGTTTTTTAATTGGCACTTACTGCACAAACATAAATCAATAGAGAAATAGGTACGTCTTGCTAAAATGAACAAAACACTTTGAACAAGAGATTCTCCAATCTCAGTTATCAGGAAGGAAATCAAATCAACAGTAAAAGTTCTCAAATTGCCTCCCTTAACATTAAGTACAGAATTAAAAACAACAGCTGGAAAGAAATTAATTATATCAGTATAACTTGTAAAAACTTTCTTGTGTAGACAAGATCTTCCAGAAAATTGTTTCCAGCCAAGCAGCAGCAGTAAAGACAGGACAAGCTCACTCCTACCCAACCCATACTCCCTTGGAAGATCACATTCTGTTGTATTGACAACTTTAACTGGGAGTATTAAAATACTTAACGTTAAGTAGCACAGGCATTAACCCCTCCCACTTAGAAACACAAAATTAAGAAGCTGAATGCACAACACTGATTTCACGCAAGATTAAAGTTATATATTTAACTTTAGCACACCTGGAACTCCTAAACTTCCAACAGCTTTCGTTTTTCCTGGATTTTAAATGGTTACCTGCGTAACCTAAACTTTGCCTTAAGAGGGTTTGTTATTTTTAATACATAAAAAACAGCATTTTTTAATCTTTTAATATTAAATAGTAGGGCTGTCAATTAAATCGCAGTTAACTCACATGATTAACTCAAAAAAATTAATCGCTAATTAATCGCACTGTTAAACAACAGAATACCAATTGAAATGTATTAAATATTTTGGATGTTTTTCTACATTTTCAAATATATTGATTTCTATTACAATACAGAATACAAAGTGTACAGTACTCACTTTATATGATTTTTTTTACAAATATTTGCACTGTAAAACATAAGAAACAGTATTTTTCAATTCACCTCATACAAGGTCTGTAGTGCAATCTCTTTATCGTGAAAGTTTAACTTACATAACTGCACTCAAAACACAAAACAATGTAAAACTTTAGAGCCTACAAATCCACTCAGTCCTACTTCTTGTTCAGCCTATCGCTAAGCCACACAAGTTTGTTTACATTTACAGGAGATATTGCTGCCTGCTTCTTATTTACAATGTCACCTGAAAGTGAGAACATAGGTTCACATAGCACTTTCAAGTGCACTTTCATGTTATAGGAGTCTCGGATGATGACCCAGCACATGTTCTTTTTAAGAATGCTTTCACAGCAGATCTGATAAAATGTACAGAAGGTACCAATGTGAGATTTCTGAGGATAAATACAGCACTCGACCCGAGATTTAAGAATCTGAAGTGCCTTCCAAATTCTGAGAAGGACGAGGTGCGGAGCATACTTTCAGAAGCCTTAAAAGGGCAACACTGACGCAGAAACTATGGAACCCAAACCACCAAAAAAGAAAACCAACCTTCTGCTGGTGGGATTTGACTCAGATGATGAAAATGATCATGCATCGGTCGGCTCTGCTTTAGATCGTTATCAAGCAGAACCTGCCATCAGCATGGATGCATGTTCTCTGGAATGGTGGTTGTAGTATGAAGGGACATATGAATCTTTAGCGCATCCGGCCCTTAAATATCTTGCAACGCCGGCTACAACAGTGCCATGCGAACACCTGTTCTCACTTTCAGGTGACATTGTAAACAAAAAGAGGGCAGCATTATCTCCTGCAAATAGTAATCAAACTAGTTTGTTTGTCTGAGCGATTGGCTGAAATAGGACTGAGTGGACTCTAAAGTTTTAGATTATTTTTATTTTTGAATGTAGTTTTTTTCGTACATCATTCTACATTTGTAAGTTGATAAAGAGATTGCACTACAAATACTTGTATTAAGTGAATTGAAGAATACTATTTATTTTGTTTTTTTACAGTGCAAATATTTGTAATAAAAAATATAAAGTGAGCACTGCACACTTTTTATTCTGTGTTGTAATTGAAATCAATTTGAAAAATATAGAAAACATCCAAAAATATTTAAATAAAATAGAATTCTATTATTGTTTAAATAGTGTGATTAATCACGATTAATTTTTTTAATAGCTTGACAGCCCTATTAAATAGAAATAACTACCTTCCCTAATTATTTAAGTAAGTATAGACAAAATATTCTCAAAATTTTCTTTTAAGCTTTAGATTTAAACTATTTTTTTTTCTTATGTCTTGAATGCTAAACATCTGAGAGGAGTATGAGTAATTAAATTCTCTGTGCAACTATCAGACAATATATTCCAAATTGTAGGTGTCTCTTAGTTGTCCCACTGAGTAATCGTTTATTTGTGGACGATTGGCTAAGATTCTCTCTCTTTCTCTGTAATTTCTGAAGTGGACCATGCAGTGGGTCAGTAAGCGGGAATCAGCAATCTCAAATTCACTCACGTCAAGGTAACAGAAGTCTGAAATTAATTTCCAACACCACCTCACAATTGATAAGATCTATGTTCCAGATGAGAAAAATAATGCACTAAGGAATCATTCAAATAATACTTACTTCAGAGCTTTGGTGTAATCTTTAGCATAATAATATTCTTCACCCATCTGAACCACTGAAAAGAACAAAGTCATATGTCTACAATCCAATACTTAAAATATTGTTGCAAAGATTTTCAAAAAGATTTGTTAGGTAATTGATACTTACTTAAGTGACTCTTCATCCTTGGACATTTGTATTTCTTGAACTGTGCTACAGCATTACTCAGCAAAGTGATTATTAACTCCTAACAGATAAATTAGCAATAGTGATATAGCAATATTTATACTTCAAAATAGTGTTAGAAAAATATAGAAATTATTTCTAAGATAAACTTACAGAGTGAGGAACAATTTTCTCTTTTAGTTGCAGGGCTAGAATTCCCACCTTTTCTTTTTCTGGATCAGAAAGATCAAAGCCTGCAAATGATAATGAAAAGTCCATTGAATTGGAATTTTGTCCAGTTCCAAAGGGAATTACTGTTTTTTCACAACAACAAGATAAGTGTACGTAAAGCAAGTTCAAACTCAGGCATATTTAGATTCTTCACATTGTCATCTCTTAGGAGAAAGAATGTTTATGTTTGGAGAACTCTGCTGTATTCTCTGTTCTATAAAGATAATTTTGGAACAAACATTCTTTCAAACCAGCACATTATTAATAATTTAAAAGGGAACTTACATGTTTTTAAAACAGAGTTTTCAAAGATGCCCAGATCATTTGATAGAATAGAATATATTTGTAAGAGTTTAGTATGAGACAAACTATTTGTTAGCTTCTAAGTAATGACTTCACAGTTGTGTTTCTCTACTAATAGTTGGCAACATCAACACTTAAAAGAATGCTGCTCCGTTTTTTTTAAAATGCATTTATAAGACTGTCAATTGTTGCAGGAAGACAGAACCCTGAATGCACATCTTAGTAGGAAACAAAGTTTTATTCACTTTTAAACTCCACTGATATTTATAATTTTGATTCAAGACTCAACATTTTAAATCACACAGTTAACCAACCAATTATATTCTCAAAATGGCACCACTGTATTATGACTGGTAACACCAGAAGGAGAATGTTTTAAGGACATCAAAAGTTGCTATGCCTAAAGGTGCACCCAGGTGATCAATGAGAGAAAAAACGTTGGATTAGACAGTATGAGCATTTCCAAGGCAAAGTGCATAAACTCAATGCGCAGCTGCTGGTGAAAATAGAACATATAGCCTTTCCAACTTCATATCTAGTGATTCAGCTTTTCCCTCTAAATCTATTTTGATAACTCAGAAGGTGTTGCTGGCAGTTCTTGTCTGCCACAGTCAGGTACTATTTACAATGGGATGAGTTTGCAAGCCTGATTCTCATTTACATTAAGGCCTCTTTATGATACTGTAGCCCCTCTGTCTCTTGTGTCTCTCTCTCTGCCCCTAGTTTTTGGTTCTTACTCTCTTGTCTAACTTCTTCTTGATTCTTACTTTTAGTCCAAGAAAATTTTTGGGGACATTATGGGGACTTCACACTCTCACTTCTAGCTAGGCCCATCATACTTGCCACAGTTTTAGAAAAGACAATATTAACAAAACAAAAAAACATCAACACATATGCATAATCACAACCAGAGGAATAAAATGTAGAACTGGTATCACTATTTTGTGTACTATTTATTTTGTATTACACCAGTAACTAGTTTAAACACCTCTCTAGTTAGGTACAAGGTATATAGTCATCTACAAAGGAGAAAACTTACAGAAATAAGATTCTAGATGTACACCTTTCTGAATTACACTTCAGATTTACACTGCCAAGTTAAAAGGACAAATGAAGGACCTCGTCCTGTAATTGGTTCTGCAGGGCAGATCACTGCACTACTCGGTCTCACTGAAATCAGTTGACTGTACACAGGTGCAGAGAGTCTGCCAATCCAGAGCTAATTACAGGATCAGGACCTCAATCCCTTTGCCTGACCTCTGTAGGAATTAAAAACAGAAAATGTATTTACTTAGTATTCCCTGACGCCATGATCTCTGTCCATAGAAGTCAAGCACTCCAGTTTGAGTTTCCAGTGGATCCGGATTGGGATAGCTGATAGAAGACTGTAAATTCAGCAAATATAGCCTTTAGAAAGGGTTCATATTTCAAAAGTATGAAAGATAACAGTGTTGAAGTACATAAGCAAAAACGTACACATTTAAAGAGCAAAAAGAGGAGTATAAAGTTCTTAATGTATTTAACTTTTTCAACCAGTTGTGTAAAATATTTACTTACCAGGAAACCACATAAGCAACTGAGAAGTGTAATACTGGAATATGGAATTGAAATGGTCATAAAGGAGTTTTTAAAGTAAAGGATATGGGAAAGCTGACAGGTATGGAGTAGCACATGGTTTGAACAGAGACATCCTTTGGGGAGGATTTAATAAAGGGGTTTCTCTATATCCTAGCAAACAGAAGAGGATAGAAGTTGATAAAGTACAGGTAGAAACTAAGGAGAAACAGTCAAATGAAAAGAAGTCCCATTCAATTACATCACATGAAGGCATACAACTAAATATTGACACATTTTATAAGTGGTTGTATTCAAATGCTAGAAGGCTAAATACTATGATGCGTGAACTTGAGTGTCTGGTATTAAATGAGGATACTGATATAATAGGCACCATAGAAACTTGTTAGAACAATGATAATCAATAGGCCATGGTAATACCAGGGTGCAAAATTTATAAGAATGACAGAGTAGATCATGCTGGTGGGGGAGTGGCACTATATATGAAAGTAAGTATAGAGTCAAATATAGTAAAAATCTTAAATGACTCAAACTGTATCATAGAATCTCTATGGATAGAAATTCCATGCTTGAATAATGAGTGTAGCAGTAGGAATAGACTACCAACCACATGACCAGGATGGCAACTGTGACAGTGAAATGCTCAGAAAGATAGAAAGGCTACAAAAAAAGAGAAAACCCAATAATAATGGGGGATTTCAACTACCCCCCCCATATACTGACTGGGTACATGTCACCTCAGAATGGGATGCAGAGATAAAATTTCTGGACACGAATAATGACTGCTTCTTGGAGCAGCTAGTCCTGGAACCCACAAGGGCAGAGGCAATTCTTGATTTAGTCCTAAGTGGCGCACAGGATCTGGACGAAGAGGTGAATATAGCTGAACCACTAAGTGATAGCAACCATAATGTAATTAAATTTAATATCCTTGTAGAGAGGAAAATACCAAAGAAACCCCTTTTTAAATGCTACTGTGGTGGGAATGACACAAAAATGAGGAAGGTAGTTAAACAGAAATTAAAAGGAACAGTCACAAGAGTGAAATGAAATGCCTGCAAGCAGCATGTAAACTATTCAAAACATCATAATAGAGGCTCAAACTAAATGTATATTCCAAATTAAAAAAAAAAAAAAACAGTAATGACCAACAACAAGAAAATGCCACTATGGCTAAACAGAGTAAAAGAGATGGTTAGAGGCAAAAAGGCATCTTTATAAATTGGAAGTCAAATCCCACTGAGGAAAACAGAAGCATAAACTCTGGCAAGTCAACCGTAAAAGTATAATTAGGTAGGCCACAACAAGAATTTGAAGAGCAACAAGACAAAAACTAACAACAATTTTTTTTTCAGTACATCAAAAGCACGAAGGCTGCCAAACAATCAGTGGGGCCACTGGACAACCCAAATGCTAAAGGAGCACTCAAGGAAGACAAGGCCGTAGCAGAGAAGCTAAATGAATTATCTGCGTCAATCTTCACTGCAGACGATGTGAAAGATTCCTGCACCTGTGCCATTATTTTTAGGTGATAAATCTAAGGAACTGTCTCACATTGAGGTATAAATAGAGAAGGTTTTGGAAAAAATTAATAATTTGAACAGTAATAAGTCACCAGGAGCAGATGGTAGTCACCTATGAGTTCTGAAGGAACTATTGTAGAACTATTAACTGTGGTATGAAACCTATTGCTTAAATCAGCCTCTGCACCAGAAGATTGGAGAATAACTAATGTAATACAAATTTTTAAAAAAAAGGCTCCAGAGGCAAATCTTGCCAATTACAGGTCAGTAAGCCTAACTTCAGTAACGTGCAAACTGGTTGAAACTGTAGTAAAGAACAGAATTACCAAACACACAGATGAACACAATATGTTGGGGAAGAGTCAACACTGCTTTTGTAAAGGGAATTATGTCTCACCAATCTATTAGAATTCTCTGAGGGTGTCATAAAGCAGGTGGACAAAGGTGATCCAGTTGATATAGTGTACTGGACTCTCGGAAAGTCTTTGACAAAGTTACTCAAAGGATCTTAAGCAAACTAAGCAGTCATGGGATAAGAGAGAAGGTCCTATCATGGATCAGTACCTGGTTAAAAGGTATGAAAGGGTAGGAATAAATGGTCAGTTTTCACAATGGAAAGACTTAAATAATAAGGTCCTGCAAGGATCTGCACTGGAACCAGAGCTGTTCAACATATTCATAAATGATCTGGAAAAAGGGGTGAATGGTGAGGGACAAAGATGGCAGACGATACGATACAAAATTACTCAAGATAGTTAAGTCCAAAACAGACTGAAGAGTTACAAAGGATTTCACAAAACTGGGTGACTGGGCAACAAAATGTCAGATAAAATTCAATACTGGTATATGTAAAAAAAATGCACATTGAAAAACATAATCCCAGCTATACATATAAATTGATGGGATCTAAATTAGCCGTTATCACTCAAGAAAGAGATCTTGGAGTCATTGTGGATAGAACTCTGAAAACATCTGCTCAATGTGCAGTGACTGTAAAAATAGCTAACAGAATATTAGGAACCATTAGAAAAGGGATAGATAATAATAATGCCGCTATATAAATCCATGGCACACCCACAACTTCAATGCTGCATGCAGTTCTCATCACCCCATCTCAAAAAAAGATATATTAGAATTGGAAAAGGTACAGAGAACAACAACAAAAATGACTGGTATGGAACAGCTTTTATATGAGGAGAGATTAAAATGACTGGAACTGTTTAGTTTAGAAAAGAGATGATTAAGGGAGAGAGATGACACCATAAAATCATGAATGGTATGGAGAAAGTGAATAAGGAAGTGTTATTTACCCCTTCCCATAATACAGGAAGGAGGGGTCACTCAATGACATTAATAGGCGGCAGGTTTAAAACAAATATAAAGAAGTACTTCTTCACACAATACACAGTCAACCTGTGGAACTCATTGCCAGGGGTTGTTGTGAAGGTGAAAAGTATAAATGGGTTCAAAAAAGAATTAGATAAGAGAATAGGTCCATCAATGGCTATTAGCCAATATGGTCAGGGATGCAACCACGTGCTCTGGGTGTACCTAAGCCTCTGACTGCCAGATGCTGGGACTGGATGATGGGATGGCATTGCCCTGTTGTGTTCATTCCCCCTGAAGCATCTGGCACTAGTCACGGTCAGAAGACAGGATACTGGGCTAGATGCACCATTGGCTGTAGTGGGTCAGACCATTCTTACGTTCTCAAGTCAGTCTAACACCGCAGCCTATTTGCTTTCATTTGTTTTTAGCATAACTTGTAAGTGGTGTAAACTAATTACTTTTCCTTTTAAAATCTGCACAGTCATAGGCAGTTTTGTATATCCTTTTTAACTGGTGCTTAACAAGATTACCCAGCAGTGACAGGTAAGTAGCATCAGTAGGAATTTAGCATCATATTTTAAATGATTGACACAGGTCAGTGTGAAAGTATACTTAGGTATAATTACACATAAGTGTTCATAGCGAAGTACAAATTGGGCTCCTCTTTCAGACTTTTTCTGCCAGATAAGTGCTGAAAAATTTAAAAACATTTAGAAAATATTTTACTTAAAATCTGCTACATAACTAAATTTTTTTTTTTTTTTTTTTTTTTTACAGTTGAGGTCATTTGGGATAAAGTGATGATTATTTATTCACTCATGGTCAATCCTTCCAAATACCGTACTGGGTATTTCTGTTCCTAGATTTGCTAATAAAGGCATATTGTTGGATTTGGCTTCATCTATACTACAGTGAAACTTTAATAAATAAAGCTTTAGAACAAAAAGTTAGCTGATTGGCAAACAGTTTGCAACTTACGTCATGGTTACAGAGTATGTTTGCTAGTTGCTTCCGCTCCTGTGCGTAGTATGCCGCTTGCTGGTAATAGAAACCTGGATTCTGAGTCTGAATTGCTGTCAAGCCTAGTTTAATAGCCTCATCAAACAAGTCTCCAAAGGCCTGAAATCTTTAAAAACAACAACATTTTTTACCTTAATATTTACTATAAAATGTAAGATTAAGCTTTAACTGTATGATATATGTGGCTATGGTTAAGTACAATACACAACAGATTTGAACTAAAGTGTCACTGTAAATTAAATTAAAGCTCCAGTTCATCCAAGGCTTTCATAGGTTTTTGAATCTCAGTGACCCATTCCTACAACTGCATTCATGTGGGTGCAGAACTGCTAGGGTCAGGGCACAGCTATTTTGAAATATTTGTTATATGTTTTGTAAAATGTGTTGGGTTTTAATTTCCACATGCATTCAGTGCTCATGAGCAATGCTGCCCTGGATACTGAAGTCCTCCCTTTACATGCAGAACAAATAAAGACTGGGCAATGACAATGAATGCCTCCTAACTCCTCCTCACTAAGTTGGGGCAATCCCAACATGCAGAACCCTCCCCCACACCACTCCCTTCCCCCCCCCAGAGGAGAGCAATATTTATAGCTATGGCCTGCTGTCTACTATATGTTTAAAACCCAGTATAATGTTATGATAATATGATGTCTTTGTGAGCTTGGCATACATTATGAAGTTTCAGATTAAATTCCCGCTGAAATCAGTTAGACAAAGCTTCTAATAACAACTGTAGGATCAAACTCTAAATCTCACAGTAGGTACCACATGTTGATTCCCACCAGTTATGAATTACTATCCGTTATTAATGCAGAGCACACTGACACAGGACAATTAAACTAATAAATGCATAACTATGATATTATATCTTTTAATATCTATTACATCTCTTTCATGAAGGAAAATTCAGAATTTCATGCTTCTCTAGACATAAAAAATTAACTTTGTGAAATACTTATACATGAGCTACAATGGAAGTATTACTTAGTAAAAACATACTGTTTAGACATCCAGGCAGCATGCTCAAAAGCCAACTCTGCACTGCCTATTTTTTTCTTGCACAAGTCAATGTGCTTCCTGAACTGAGCAATTGCATCCAATGGGGTGTTATGCTGAAAACAGAGGCGACAAATCTACAAGAATCAAAATAAAAGAAAGACTTGAAAATCTTTATCAACAGTCTATTCAAAGTTCAAATTTCTAAAAGTAAATCTAACATTAGAAACGTAGTAGGTAAATGATAAGATCCCAAACAATTTAGAAGTAAAAACAATATAAAAATGAAGGTTAGATATAACACCTTATAGCATTTTATATGAAGCAAGCAGGGTTCTGTGACACATATTATCCCCATGGCCCTCCATATAAATTATGGCAAGAACTGAATGATGAGTTCTCTCCAGAAAAAAAAAAAAAAAAAAAAAAAGATCAAAGGCACAGACCAAACCTCACCTCAGAAGAGAGTGACCACCACACACACTCCCAAATCCAGCATAGAATTGCTGAGCTACTTGGGAGAGGAGGGATGGACAGCGCCAGAAACGCTTTGGAGATCTTCCCCACAGAGGCTATGAAGTCTGCAGTAATCCAAACCTGCTGGATGTCCTTTTCAAGGGCCTGGTTGAGGACCAGCTCCAGTAACATTTTTTTTTTTTAAATTGGTAGGTAGGAAGACACTTTGCTGACCCAAGGACCTCTAAAATCTGTTCTTCCAAAGGAAGAGCCATTCTTTCCTCAGGATTACTTTTCCTTCTCCACCTTTAAAAACGGGGGGATCAATAATCTATAGGCTACATGAACTTGTTTCTGTAAAGTGCTGTTTATTCCCACTGACTTCAATTGGGAATTGAGGGGGTGCTAAGCTCTTCATGGGATTGAGCCCCATGTAAGGTCTAGCCCCTTAAAAAAATAAAATCACAGTTTTAAACACCTGAACTCAACTTCTACTGAGAAGGTATTTTCTCCTTGGAATTTGAAGTAACCTCCACAAGCTGGAATTTAGGGGGCCTGCAGTCGGGTAGTAATTTAGAACTAGATAATGCTCTAAAAGCAGTAATATAGGAGATGTATTTTTAAAATTAAATCTTTACAGATTGAGTCCTTCAGCTACCTTCATATTTTAAAATTTACAGGTTTGCTAAAGGTTACAACACATTTGTTACCTTGTAGTTTATAAATCCTGCCATGGTCTTGATTTCCAACATGTTCGTTTCATGCGCCCTCAATTCATGTACAAGATTATATGCAGTTCTGTAATTTCTAAATATGAATGTTTAGAAGTTAGGTGCGTTGGCAGTACCAAAGCAATTATTCATGAATGACTATTGAAAAAGAAAATCTGCATTCAATGAAAATATTTTTTTTTGGTGAAAAGCTCATTGATAACAGTAACACATACAACTGACTCTGCATTCACAACATCCTCAAGCACACTTTCTATTTATTGGTCATGACAAAAAACTTTCCTGCCTTTTTCCAATCAGCAGTTTAAGGGTGATTTAAAAAGAAAAAAACCCCTCAAACTCTGTGCTTTTTTGCTTCATTGATCTCTACAAACAGGCAGACTGAACACAAACTGCAATAGTCAAAAGAACACTGGGGTTACATTTTCCCAAAAGAATGTTAAAAACATTTCTGAAATACTAGTACATCTTCAGATTTCATAAATAGTAGCACATATTCAAGGATGTAGCACAGAAGTCAGAAGCTCACTTTTTTTTGTTAAGCAACAAAAAAGTAAATGAGGATATTGTGAAGTTTGGATTGAGTTACAGCTTTTGGTTTCAGAGATACATATAAAAATGTAATTCAAATGTTATTCAAAAGTGAAATTCAGAAATCTTGGCAGAAAGTATCCATGAAATGCTTTTCCTTGGCAAGATACGCTAAGTAATACCACCTCAGGGTCAGCTCTAAGCATGCAACTGACTATGAAGTCTATCCAACAAAAGCAATTAAGCACACGCTCAACTTTAAACATGAGTAAGAAACCGGTCAACTGGTGGACTCTTTTTTTATTAAGAAGATACTGACAAATAATAATAGTAAAGATTAGGAGCTTACCTTTCCTATATTCCATTCATCTTAATAGAAATGTGACCTTTAGAGCCCAATTGAGACCATTTAAATGCTGACATTAAGAATAGGCAAATACATGCCTCTCCAAATTTTCATTAAAGAAAGTAAATAAACATGGAATGAGATGCAAAAGTCATTTTAAAGCAACATTAAGATTGCACAGCTGCACATCATTAAGGAAATGCAACAGTTAAGGCTCCAAGAGCAATTGTGGGGGGGAAGAAAGGGGCGTGTGAGTGCGTATGCGTCTAGAGTATTTTCTATGCCCTTTGTCTTAAAGGTAGAGTTTAATTCATTGCTATTTAGGTCTTAATGTACAACACATCCGTTAGAGTTGAAGTTGGAACCTTAACCTTTGTACTTCTAAAAGTTATTTTATATCAATGTAAATTCAGAAACATATTTGAAGTATGAAGTTGAACACAAACTCAAGAAGATTCTTTGTATCAACATTTACTCTGAACAAAACAGACTAACAAAAACACAAGTTGTTACACTGTAGAATAAGCTCAAAAATATTGACTGCTTGATTTGTTACAAATGCCCAAATATAAATTTAAGTTTTACATTTCACTAACCTTGAAGCTATCATAATAGTAAGAGAAGTCACTGTGAAAAAAGAAAGTTTACTTACTTTAGAGCATTCTGTGTATCCTGTTTCAGCTCACTGAAGAATGCTATTTTGAACTGATGTCTCACAAATAAAAGCTGAGAAACACAATCAATATTTTAATGGTCCCAATAATCTAAACGGAGTACATTTACAAAATTGGAATAAAATTAATACTCAGAGAAATCACAGGTAACTTAGTTGGAAGTATGCAGAATTATAAGAAAGTGTATTGATATCACAGAAAACAATTATGAGTAGTTGTTCAATAGCATGACACAGAGCTCTTTTGCTGAATCTAATTTATTGCTCCCACCCCAAAAGAAAGAGGGACAGCCTTGTACCATCCATCAATGATCTTGAATAGACACCTTAAGGACACATCTTGTGGCTCTACAGGCAATCTTGTCCTGTTGGAGGATAGTTGGGTGGTTGCCACACAAGTTTGTGTGCCAAAACCAGTATTTGGTGAAGTGAAAAGAAACAAATGAGAACCAAGTTAAGCCCGGAAGTCTGTAGTAAGTGCCCTCTACAGCCTGAGTTAGAGCACTGCACAGAAAAACACTAAAGCTTCCTTATAATTTCTCCCCACTTGCAAAGTTTTAAAAATCTGCTTAACACTTCCCGTTTCAGAGAGGATATCCCAAAATACATCAATCCATGACATCGCAAATAGCAGAGATTGCAGCAAGACACCTGGAATTTGGTGTGTTATTTTCTGGAACACCTTAAGTCAGCCTGAAGTATCAAAAGGATTTCAGCACAGAAATTCTATTTTCAAAAAGTGAGTTGAAAACTTGTTTCTATTCTGAAAAACACTACTACCACAAGTCTGAGAAGTGGGAGTTCTCAGTATGTAACTCTGGATTTAATTCCACTGTCATTTTTTATTTAAAGTTTCACCTTTTAAAGGTGATTTCATTTTATTTGATGTAAGGTAAGAAAAGGACCATATCTAGGATAAAAGTGAAAAAGAAAAAAAAGTGTGAAAATAATTGTGTTTTGTTTTAACATTCTGATATTTAAAAATATATATATATATCCTGTGTATCATATATAGGATACGTCAACTATATTTTTAGAATTATCTTATTTAAAAAGGAGTAGCATTACCTGATGTGTTGTTTTATTCAAGAATTCTTTATGAGATTTTACCCTTCTTATTTCTGTATAGTAGTAGGTCTGTGCATGCTCATAAAAAGCATTCTCTAATCTGTAAGAGAGAATTGCTCATCACTTTGTAAGCAAATAAAGAAGTTCTTTTAGTATATAGAGAATCTAAAGTACTTTAAATTAGTCTATTTAACACTATTCCGTCTACAATCACTGTAAGCCGACAAAAAAAAAAAAAAAAAAGACACAACCCCAAAACATACAAACTTAAGTTTTTGGTACCAACAGGAAATCACTAAATTAGACGTTCTTGTGATATTTGTTTTAACCTACCTTATCTGCCTAGAATATTTTTGAGACAAGGCGGGTGAGGTCATATCTTTTTTGGATCAACTTCTGTTGATGAGAGATACACTTTTGAGCTACAAAGAGCGCTTCAGGTTGGAAAAGCTACTCAGGCTTGGTTTACACCAGGGGTTGGCAACCTTTCAGAAGGTGTGCGCCAAGTCTTCATTTATTTACTCTAATTTAAGGTTTGGCTTGCCCGTAATACATTTTAACGTTTTTAGAAGGTTTCTTTCTATAAATCTAGAATATATAACTAACCTACTGTTGTATGTTGTAAAGTAAATAAGATTTTTAAAATGTTTAAGAAGCTTCCTTTAAAATTGAATTAAAATGCAGAGCCCCCCCAGACCGGGGGCCAGTACCCAGGTAGTGTTAGTGCCACTGAAAATCAGCTCTTGTGCCGCCTTTGGCACACGTGCCATAGGTTGCCTACCCCTGGTTTACACCAACAAGTTAGATCGACATAAGGCAGTTTGTGTCAGCCTAATTATGTCAGTGTCTACACTAGAATGCTGCTGCTGACAAAGTAAGTGGCCTGTTACACCGACATAACAACTCCACCTCCACAAGAGATTTATATTGGTGTAGTTAGGGCGACAATGTCTGTTTAGACACGGTTACTGACATCAACAGTTGGTTATCATTCTTGTCAGTTTCATGCTGCCTCTGGCTCAGAGCAGCAGCATGGGGCTCATAGCTGAAGCCATGAAACAGACAAGAACATCAATTTCACTGCTGGTACTCTGTCTGGTATGAAACTGAGCCCAGGCTGGCCTCACAACTCAGGCTGTCATCCCGGGTGGGTGGGGGGCTCCCACCGTGAGCCCCGCACAGCTCTCAGTGCCCCACTTCAGACAGTGCAAGTGCTCCTGGGGAGGACACACCACAGGCAGAAGGAGTGTAGCCTGGCCACCAAGAACCAATTGACTTACTTCAGTGGCTGTAGGTCGACCTACATTAGTTAACCAACATTTTTCACTTACCAGCACCCCCGATTCCCCCAACATGCAGGATAAAACAGCTTGTATTGTACTTGGTGTATACAGAAAAAGTAAGACCCCTAATGAAGGCAGACAAGGAAAAAGCAAACACATGCCAAGGTCTAGACAAGATCTCTATCTTAACATTATGGTAAAATAGGTCAGAAAAAACCTAGCAGTAGCTTCAATCTCCCTTAACCAATAGGCCTAGACATACTGTACAAGTGTCTAAAAAGACCCAGAGTGAACCAAAGGCAGTCTTTGGGTTTCCTGCCAATATCTCCCAGAAGTCCATATAGTAGCAAGTTTTATGGCCTACTCAGAGGGAAGGTGCCAATCATAACATGACCTTATGGAAAAAGGACAAAGGTTAAAAAAAACCCATTGGATTCATCAGGACTCAGCATGATGTGGAGTGTTTCAACGACGGACTAAAATATGAGTAATGTAAGTTTGCAATTGCTCTACAGCTGATGTACGGGAGAATTGATATCTGCATATCATATGTTCCTTAATAGACTGGAAAAAATGCATTGTAGGAAAAGTCTTTTACCAATTCACTTACCTTATAATATAACCAACCAGATGATCAGTGTGTGGTAGCACAAACAAGGATTTTCCAGAGAGGTCACAAGCATTACATAAAGCTGCTGCTCTTTCTGAAGCAATAACATCTTCCCCTAATTAAATCAAAAGAGCATGCAAACAAGCAGAGCAGTGTCAAATACACTCTTTTCAAAGCTGGACTATCACAAGCTATGGAAAAGGTGATACACCGAAAAATATAGGACTTTCTCTCAGGTCATCTGAAACACCAAGGCTCTGATTAGCAGAATACCGTTGTGGCTGAATAATCCCCAGAAGACCTGAGGAACAGGCTGGGTACTCACAAAACACTTTACAGATGAATTTATGGTACTAGTCATGTGATTTAAAAAAATCCAAAAAACAGCCACTGACAGAAAAAAACCTCACACTTCTGTAGCTCTGCACCAGTGACTTTTAAAGGTGTAAAAAGTAAAAACAAACAAGCTCCATATTCCATGATTTCATGTAATTACAGCTTGGGATAGATTGATTTAGGATGCAACCCCTTCAAATTTCTTTCCTCAATGACTGACATTCAGTCAGACAGTGACGAATTTATCCCTTGCCAAAGTTTGGCAAGAGAGTAAAAATGTACAGTGTACACTTCATAACAAACACCTCTCACCCCCATTCAAAATGTGGCTCCCATAACAGTTTGAGTGAGCAGAAATAAGTATGGAGAATGGTGAAATGCAAGGGCTTAATGAAGAACCTGAAGCATCGTACCTGCTCCAATCTGACATTTTAATAAGGGAAATATTCATCATGACAACTGAATATTCTTACACTTAAAAGCTGCACTGAAGCTGCAGCATTTTAATCAGCTGCAATTAGAGTTTATTTTTAACTGATCCCAGGTAAGCATTAAGTGACAACTGCTTTGTAGGATAGGATACAGTCATATTTGCACTAGGCTTGATACACAGTATCAGAAGCTGGACATAAAAAAAAAAAAGAGTCATAGTTCTGAGGAACTTAGAATCATAGAATCATAGAATATAAGGGTTGGAAGGGACCCCAGAAGGTCATCTAGTCCAACCCCCCTGCTCAAAGCAGGACCAATTCCCAGTTAAATCATCCCAGCCAGGGCTTTGTCAAGCCTGACCTTAAAAAACCTCCAAGGAAGGAGATTCTACCACCTCCCTAGGTAACGCATTCCAGTGTTTCACCACCCTCATAGTGAAAAAGTTTTTCCTAATATCCAATCTAAACCTCCCCCACTGCAGCTTGAGACCATTACTCCTCGTTCTGTCATCTGATACCATTGAGAACAGTCTAGAGCCATCCTCTTTGGAACCCCCTTTCAGGTAGTTGAAAACAGCTATCAAATCCCCCCTCATTCCTCTCTTCTGCAGGCTAAACAATCCCAGCTCCCTCAGCCTCTCCTCATAACTCATGTGTTCCAGACCCCTAATCATTTTTGTTGCCCTTCGCTGGACTCTCTCCAATTTATCCACATCCTTCTTGAAGTGTGGGGCCCAAAACTGGACACAGTACTCCAGATGAGGCCTCACCAATGTCGAATAGAGGGGAACGATCACGTCCCTCGATCTGCTCGCTATGCCCCTACTTATACATCCCAAAATGCCATTGGCCTTCTTGGCAACAAGGGCACACTGCTGACTCATATCCAGCTTCTCGTCCACTGTCACCCCTAGGTCCTTTTCCGCAGAACTGCTGCCTAGCCATTCGGTCCCTAGTCTGTAGCTGTGCATTGGGTTCTTCCGTCCTAAGTGCAGGACCCTGCACTTATCCTTATTGAACCTCATCAGATTTCTTTTGGCCCAATCCTCCAATTTGTCTAGGTCCTTCTGTATCCTATCCCTCCCCTCCAGCGTATCTACCACTCCTCCCAGTTTAGTATCATCCGCAAATTTGCTGAGAGTGCAATCCACACCATCCTCCAGATCATTTATGAAGATATTGAACAAAACCGGCCCCAGGACCGACCCTTGGGGCACTCCACTTGATACCGGCTGCCAACTAGACACGGAGCCATTGATCACTACCCGTTGAGCCCGACAATCTAGCCAGCTTTCTACCCACCTTGTAGTGCATTCATCCAGCCCATACTTCCTTAACTTGCTGACAAGAATACTGTGGGAGACCGTGTCAAAAGCTTTGCTAAAGTCAAGAAACAATACATCCACTTAAATTGGTTAAAAAAGGTAATGAAAAAGCACCTGGACTTTTAGGGCCAATTTTTCAGAGCAAAGCATCCATTGTGTACGTGCAAATAACGGGGAGTGAATTTTTGTGCACACAAATCATTGTGCATGAGAACTGCATGCAAAGTGCACAAATGATGACCAGGATAAAAAGTCCCTTTGAAAATGTGGTCCTCATATTTGCATACACTGCAGTTTGATTAGCCTTTTAGTACCTGGAGGTAAGGGTGTTTTCTTTTGAATCAAAACCACAGCAACTTTTGTGTTTCTTCCCTGCAAACTTTGCCTGAAATAGAAGAGTTGCAATGATAAGCTCATATTTCATGTTTATACAATGACTTTCAGTCTACTTTTAAAGTCATTAAAAATTGTGTATAAAAGGCACATCACCACCCACGAGATACATACTCTCTCTCCTTTTCTCGGATAGATCGTAACAACTGCATTTAATCTCACCGATTTTAGAAAACAGGAAGTAAGGGCGGATCCAAAGCAACTTTGCCAATTTACATTCTAAAATAAGACATCTTTAGATCCTCTTAAAAATAAATTTCAAAAATAAAATCAATCAAGAGCCCCATCAGCCCAGCACAAAATTCTGTTTTTAAAACAAAAAAGATGAAATTGCTTTACGGTACGTACAAGTATTTTGAAACCTACACTTAATACAAATACAAGTTAATACTTATAACCTAACAAACAACTGTACCTGACAATTTCAACTCTAGTAGCACATTCTGACTGTTTTTCTTTCCACTGTGGCTCATCCCAGTCCAGTTCATAGAACACCACAACAAGAGCTGGCACCAGATTCAGATGTTTGTTCATCCAGCCAGTCTTTAATATCCCTTTTGGAATGTACCACTCATAGGATGTTCTCTGAAAATATTAATTTAAACTTATTAAAACGAGCTACCAACCATGTTTATTTTTGCTGTCTCACGTGCATGGGGAATTCCATGTGTCCATGATCAGTCCTGAGGACTTGATCTTTCCTCTATCAATCTTGCTCTCAAGTGTCTGCTTCCTAATGGAGAAGGTGTGGTGGGATGTTTTTTTTTAAACCATCATGCCCCATCATTGGCTCAAGAACCAGATGTATGCCACTGAAACATTATCAAAAATAGATTTCCATAGGTGAGAGGGGAGGGGGTGTCGGAAGGAGGAGAGATTCTGACAGTAAAGAAAAGTCAACTTCAGGAAAAATAAAATACTTTGAACTTCCATAGTACCTGTCATCCAATGATCACAACATGCTTTATAAAGTTAAGTAAGTATTACCCGCATTTTACAGAGCGGGAAACTGACAAAAGATGCAAGTTACTTGTCCTAAATCACAGACAATTAAAACGCAAAATTAGGGAACAGAATCCAGGTTTCTGTATTTCCAACTCTCCACTGTAATAAGTAACCACTGGACTATGCTGCTTATCAAGTGTCACACTAGTTTACATCGGCTCAGTTTCACTACAGAGATTCAAGTAGACTGCATATACTGTATTTTGCTCTGTCTCACCCAAACAGCTGTTTTAAAAAATTTCTGGAACATCTAAAAAATAGATATTTGAAATGAAAATGAAACTGTTCAAATTTTTGATTTAAGACTGATAGTGCTCCCTTATCATGCAATGTTTCCAGATTTCAATTAACTTTCTAATAGTTAATTTATTCTGACTGAATATTTACACAGAATAATCACAAACAGCAAACACTTTACAGTAAGTCATTTTATAGTTTGCATAATATGTTAAATGTATTTTAAGTCTTCATAAGAAAACCCCACAGACTATATACCTTTGTTCTGCATTTTGGATATTCATGGTCACCAGGAAGAACTTTGAAAGAAATTGGTACTCGGTCAGCTCTCCTGTTTGCACAAAAGGCATCCCAAACTGCACGATGAACAGCATTATATACTACATCCAAGCCAGTGAGGGTTACAAAGGCCATAGGTCGACAACATAGTTCCACAGGGAAGTCCCACTGTGTTGGGCTCATCTTGAAGTTTTACAGAATGCCTGAAAAACAAGAATACTCCCTATTTCAAATCCCCTTTCAAACATGCAATTTCTGATTAGACACAAAAGATATCTTTTTGAGAAAAATGCACTAAACTAGTCTTTTCACTTAAGATTCAAGTTAAATCCAGCCTGCTCACTCACCTTAAAACTTATTTGGGCAAAGGAATACAGGCAATTTTAAGATACAGGGATTTAAAAAAAAACAAAAAAACACACTCCAATAAGAATCAGCCAATAGTGTTTTCTGGAAGGTGGGGAAGAACCAGAAAGGGGAAAAAACCCACCCAGTGCAACTCAAGCAAGATCAAACTTTTCTGTTTTTATTCATACTGCTCAGACACTGGCACTATTAGCAAAGTTGTGAGCCAAAGGGCCACTAACTATAGGCATACAGATAAGCTCATCAAGTACCCTCCTACCCCAGATGTGGATGGGGCTGCAACTGGAAGTTGAGGAGGTAAGTTGGGCCTGGTTTGAGAACTCTGATGGTCCCAGTCCTGCAGTTGTATCTGCATAAACAAACCCATTAGCTTGCAGAGCCCAGGTTCTACTCAGGCAGAGTCAATTACAGGCTAGGGCTTATATCTGTTATTACTAGAAAAAGCAGCCTGCTTAAATAAGGTTTGCATTAGCCACGTACTGTATACAGCAAGAAGCATGTTCTTCCTCACTGTGGCATTGTCATTTTTAGCACCCTCATGTTTGATGCAAAAACAACAAGGAGTCCTTGTGGCACCTTAGAGACTAACAAATTTTTTTGGGCATAAGCTTTCGTGGCTAAAACTCACTTCACCAGATGAATGGAGTGGAAAATATAATAGGATTACATACACACACACAAAGATGGTCCCTGCTCTGAAAAGCATGATGTCTATAGACATGGTGCATTGGGAGAAATAGGAATAGAACAACAGTACAGATTGTTGTTTAATTTATATAAATTATATTAAGGAATCATGTTTTCACTGAAGGAAAAGTGTGTTTTTTGGGCAGTGGAGCTTGACCCCAGGCATAGCCCAACCTGCCAGTAACGGACATACGCGGGGGCGGGGAGGGACAAAGCGTTTCCTGAAACCTAGCATTATGTGCCAAAAGCTCAGAGAGCGAGTGATGAGCAGGATAACCAGGAGCAGCTCCCGGCGGGAGAGGCACCACGTCCTATCTCCCCCCCCCCCCCCACGCCTAAAGACCAGGCTCAGCCCCTACCGCTAGTCCCCCGCCCCCACCCAGCCCCTACCCAGTTCCCATGGGCAGCCCCTCCACCGCCTCTGACCCACCGCCAGCGCCAGACCCACGACGACCCGCCTCAACCCTCTCCCCCTGCCCGCCCCGGACCCTGCCCCGCCGGCCGGGCAGCCACACAGTAAACAGCCGCCGGCGCGGCCAGCAGCGGCTCCGTCCTACCACCTCCAGGCAGCGAGCTCTCCGCGGGCCCCTACCCAACGGCGCCGCCCGCAGCAGAGGCCGGCAATCCACTACTGAGCGGCAACAGAGATTGAGATTCGCCTCCGGAAGCAAGAGCATGAGGATAGGAGTGACAGTCCATTCCACCAATCAGCGTTGCCTGCTCAACGACAACGTCAAATCTTGGGTCTCGAGAACCGTCGTAGGAGCCAATGAGAGAAAGAGAAAAGAGGCTCGGCCACAAGATTTAGCCAATTGATGAGCGGGAGTGATGACGCTATGGAAGAGAGCCCAATCATAGCGCAAGATAGGTAGTCAACACAGCAGCCCCGGCGTGGCTAGGGGAGGCAGTGAGGGTCTTGGTGACGGTCCAGTGCGCGTGCGCGCTGTGGTCGCGTGTGGTTTCTGGATCGGGTAGCGGTTGCTGCACTCTGTGAGAATCCCTGGGCTGAGGCCGAGGCGGGGGCTGCCGGCCCGGGGCCATGGCGGCGAACGAGGACCAGGAGGTGAGACACCGACCCGGCTTCTCCGCGCTCTGGCTGGGGGTTGGGGGGGTGTCTCTGGGGCTGTTGCCCGCCCTGCCTGGCCCGGGAACGCGGGGGCTGTTGCGGGACGGAGGCTGCCCCCTCGCTCCGCGATCCAGGGCTCCGAGGTCTCCGGCCCGCCCTGCTCCGCCCATCGCGGCGCTGACCGCTCCTCCCGGGATCCCGGGCTAGTTTTTAAAACCTAACTTGGAAAGATGGTGCAAAAATAAATCAGTAACGTTAGCAGAAACCACACCTGTCTCCTCCCAGAGTTTTAGCTAACACGCTCCAAGAAGAGTCAGCCGACGGCGTCCTCTACTAGTAACCTAAAGCGTTCTGGCGTGCACTTTTTCCTTACTCTTTTTTATACGAAGAGTCTGTCAGGGAGACTTCAGGTCAGCTTCAGAGCATTTGCACTTTTAACTGAATGCTACATCAATCCAGTTGTTTCTTGGGTGGCATAGTCCTAGATAGTTATCTTTGTACTTGGTAAATTCTTAAAAATATTTTAATACATTGATCATATGCAATGTACATATCATATGTGATCGTATTAATTCAGCCAACAGCATGTTATATTTTGTTAATGGCAAATACCCCGTAGAAAGTCATTCTGTGATAAGAAAAGGGAGTACTGTAGCTCACGAAAGCTTATGCTCAAATAAATTGGTTAGTCTCTAAGGTGCCACTAGTACTCCTTTTCTTTTTGCAAATACAGACTAACACTGAAACCTGTCATTCTGTGATAGTTACTTGGGGGTTAATAGATATTCTGGGCCCTTCTCACTTATAAAATCCCTTTCTTGTAGTTTTGTAGAAAGTAATATGGGGAGGATGGAAACATTCTTGAAACAGATGTTTGGTATTTTCTTGGGGAAGTTAATAAAGTTTTGTTTTTTTAAAAAGCAGGCTTCTAGAGTTCAGTAAAATGTGCCAAGATGGGGAATGGGTTTGTAGAAAGTAAATTGAATTCAGACTAGCATGCCAGGTTTGCTGAACTCACATTCCACTAACCTAAAATAGGATTATTGAACTATCAGACAAGATATCTAGACCAATTATTGCCTAAATTTTAATTTGTTTATCTTTTTAATGAAAAACAAAATGTGGATTTCTGTATATTTTGCTGACACTCATCTGTTTATACAAAGTTCAGTATCGGATTGAAATTGCTAACCTTTTTCTCCATCTGTTCTTTTCAGATGGAGCTAGAAGCATTACGTTCTATTTATGAAGGAGATGAGTGTTTCAAAGAACTTAGTCCTGTTTCCTTTCAGTATAGGGTAAGACCACATGAAGCTTTAATTAGGTGTAATACATCATTCATTTAAAGTTATTCTGCACATTGTCCATTACAAAGCATTTCTTGAGACAGATGGTATTTCTTGAAACTACTTAGCAATAAAGGCACTAAGTACCTTTTTACATAATTTCAAAATAACTTGCCCTGAGAAACTTAAATGTAATGATAGTTACCTTTTTGAACAGAAGCAAACATCACAATAGTAATCATCAGTAGTAATAGAGGAATAAGTAAAGTATAATTTGTCATGAAAAAACCTGAACAACTGTAATTGAACTTGTAGGGAACTAATACAGATGGAGTAAGTAAATAACTTGTGCTCCAGTCCTGCAAACACAGATTTCTTTCATTTTACTCACATGAATAGTCCTACTGACTTTTCTCACAAGAGTATAGTTAAGTAAGTATTTACAGGTTTGGGTCTTTCACTAATTATTATGACACAAGGTATATTGAAAATAGATCATGACATTTAAAAAAAAATCTTGTGTAACTTTCAAAACTGCAAGTGTCAAGTGAATGCAATAATGTTGCTGAATCTTTACTGAAAGGCAAAGAAAACCAATCCATTATAATAGAAAGAATAATCTGACAGCATCAGATCTGGCTATACTTTTCATTAGGTAGAAAGTCAGTGGAATAGAGTTGAAAGGATTAGTCTGCTGTTCTCTTGAACATAGTTAGTGTACTGCCCAGCACATTGATTAGTTAAATTATAAAATAAGACCAAAAGAAGACATGACAAAGATTTCTCAAATAGTGGCAACATGCAACACATCACTCCCGAAAAGCTTACTATGAAGAAATTTGAAACTGAGTCAATGTAAATATAAACTATATTTAATATTGAGTATATTAGGTTCCTACTGCTCACAATCCTCTTTACATAATCTTTTCTGTCCCTTCTCTTGCTCCTTCCACGTAGATCCAACAAAGCCAGAGTTCGCCTTTCAGCATGCCTGAGTTAGCCTTGCAGCATGCCCTGAAAAGAATAGGCCTTGTCCACAAGGAAAAAAAAAAATTCACACTTTTACTTGGTGCTTTTAAAATCACTATAGTTAGGCCAGCGAAAACCCCGGTGGGAGCATGTATAGGAATACACCACAGAAACTGAAATAAGTGGCCACAGAAGGATTTATGCAGGTTTAATTAAATCTGTTTTAAATGACACCTTTAGTTAAAGTAATGCACGCTTTAAATGTGGACAAGGCTTTCCCTTAGGAGTTGCCTGAGTATGATGGGCTTAGATGAACAATTTTTATTAGCTGTCTTGTTAGTTTGTCTTTATTGCCTCCCATCCCTAGAGACAATTATTGCAATTTAATAAGTCTTAAAAATCTTACCCATTACTTATGACATTAAAGGTCACTAAAACATATGTTTTTTCCCCATCATTATGCTGCTTGGTTTTTATTTAGATTAGACAGTGAAGAGAAAGCAGGTTTCATTTTCTGGTTCTCATGTAGAATGCTAAAATATTTGGATTGCAAACACTGACAGAAAATGTTTAAATTTGCACAAGACTTTTTATAGAAATTTTAAACATCTATTGAGTTCTGTCAAAAGTTTGAGGAATACAGGTTATACTATTGTATATCTAAATTTAAAATGACTATCAGTAATGTTTTTTCAAGCATAGTTTGATGGTTGGTTACTGTGAATAGCCATAGCCTTAAAAATAACCTGGGTAAACAAAGTCAAATGAAAGATTCACATACTAAACGACACTAAGGTTTGATGCAGTGTTTTTGTATCTTTGTTGGTCCCAGGATATTAGAGAGACAAGGTAGGTGAGGTAATATCTTTTATTGCACCAACTTCTGTTGATGAGAGAGACAAGCTTTTGACCTACACAGAAGCTCTTTTTCAGTTCTGAGAGGAAGAGCTGTGTCAGTTGGAAAGCTTGTCTCTCTCATCAACAGAAGTTGGTGCAATAAAAAGACATTACCTCACCCACCTTGTCTCTAAGGTTTGATAACAGACTGAGGCTTCCCATTTTAAAGTGTTTTACCTCCTTTCAGATAGGTGAAAATGGCGATCCCAAAGCCTTCCTAATAGAAATTTCATGGCCAGAAACATACCCACAGACAGCTCCAAACATATCCATGAATGCTTTCTTCAACAACACCATGTAAGTATTTTAGTTACTTCCTCTTTTTTTAGTTTTTAGTTTTTTTAGTAAGTATTTTAGTTACTTCCTCGTTTTACATGTGGTCTTTCTCTTACAAAATTCTTGAATTCTTTGGGCCTGTAATTTGATTTTATGGTCTCTTTTAGATCTTTAGCTATAAAACAAAGTATATTGGATAAATTAATGGAAGAAGTTGAAGTTAATCTTGGAACTGCCATGACATACACACTTTTTGAATATGCCAAAGATAATAAAGAATTGTTCATGGAAAATCAACCTGTTCATATTGTGGTAAGTCTATAACTTGTGTTTTGATCTATTTTAGTTTTATAAATAGTTTCTATAAATATGAACTTTTTTTTAATACAACAAAGAGAATAGAATGTTTAATTACTATATATTTAAACACCTCACATCGCTACTGGAAAACTTCCGGAGCATGTCTGTGAGGTGCAAGCCAGTATGCTATGTCACCAAGATAGTGGCTAGAAAAAAGTAGATGAAAGGAAGTGTAGCACAGCTCTGTGGCTGTAACCTGGAAGTTTATTTGGTGTTCAGCCACCTTACCAAAAAGTTTCTGGAAGAGAAATGAGAGAGAAGCAGTGATTAGAAACAACTTCCGAATCTAACACAGCCAGTTTGTATCCAATGGTGACTACAGAACTAGTTCAAGACACAGTTAATGAGAGCCAATGTGGATTTTGACTTGCAGCATGAAGAAAGTCTCTAGAATGGATAAGCTATGCTTGTGCTCTGAACAATTAAATATTTGAGTGAGGGAAGGAATAGCAGACACAACCAATCAATGAAATTATTTAGTGATGGAAATAAAAATATTAAATTTTGTTAAATGACACTTCTTGATTCTACTTTAAATGGCTCAGTAGTTTAGAACATGAAGCACATGCCAAGCACATTAACTCTGCTCAAAGTGATTCCATCAAGCTGGCTTGAGTGGGGACCTTCACTTTTAACCCGATCTGTTAAAGCAGCATTTCACCTGGAGTGAGAAACTTGATGAAAGTGTTTCTAGAAAGCACTTATGCACCATTTTTTATCTGCTTCATCTATAATTTTTGTTCAGAACTACATTAGAATTATCCTGTCGTAGATGTTCTGACTCCTGAGAGCTTCCACTTGAGCCAGAAAAATTTGAAGCTTTATCCTTCATATTATTCAGCCTCCTATTCAAATTTTCCATGCTCGCTGTTATTCTGTTTTGTATTAGAGAAGCCTCTAGTTTTGGGCCCCCATTGATGTAGTTTTTCTCTGTAGAGGGCCTGGGAAAGCAAGAAGCTAAATGTAGGTAGGAAAGGTTTGAGACTGGGACAAGTGGCTAATGGTATTCTTTATAAGATATTGAACCTTAGCTGCTAGATGACTAGATTTAAATCCACATACTTTAGTAGTGGCCAGAATATAGTGAATTGGTGGTCTCGTGATGGTTCCTTTTGGACAAGTGTCAATATTGGAAATACAACTACCACCTTCTGGAAGTAATTCAGATCTTTTATCCACCTTACTGAAGAGGCCAAGGATCAAATGGGCATGAGAACTAAATGGTGCTTTTGTCCTGTACTGTACCTGAGGGTTTTTTTGTGTGTGTTAATAACAGTTTTCACACTCCATGACTGTCAATCTATTCTCTTTTTGATGAGCAGTAAATGTACTCTTTTTTGAAAACAAACAAAGGGTCTTTGTTTTTAGGCATCCCAAGAGCCTTGAATTTAACAGAGTTCAAACTCTAAGGTCTACACTACAGACTAAGGGCTGGTCTATACTACGGGGATGGGGATCGATCTAAGTTAAGCAACTTCAGCTATGTGAATAATGTAGTGGAAGGAGACATACTTAGATCTACTTACCACGGTGTCTTCACTGTGGTGTGTCTCCTGTCGATTCCCCTTGCCCTTCTCGTTGAGGCGTAGTACTGGAGTCGATGCTAGAGCGAGCGGCAATTGATTTATCACGTCTATACTAGACATGATAAATCAACCCCCTGCTGGATCAGTTGCTGTCCATCGATCTGGCCAGTAGAGTAGACAAGCCCTTATGCTATGTTTACACTGCTCAACTTACAACGGTGCGGCTCTGCCACTGTAACACTGTAAGGTGCGTTGTGTAGTCACCGACAAAATAAAACCACCTCCAACAAGGGGTGGTAGCTTCATTGCCTAGAGTGCGGCTCCCACCAATAAAGTGCTGTCCACACCAGAGCTTTCAGTCATTAAAACTTTTGCCATTCAGTGGGGTGCCAGTGTAGACGGAGCCTTACATTGGTATAACTAAGTCACTCAAGGGTATGAAAAATCCACACTTCAAGTGACACAGTTATACCGACTTAACTTCCGGGATAGACAGTGCTGTGTCAGAGAAAGAGCTTCTCCCATCAACATTGCTATCACCTCTCGGGAAGGTGGATTACTACGCAAATGGAAGAGCTCTCTCCCATCAGGATAGAGCATCTTCATTAAAGTGTTGCATCAGTGTAGCTGTGCCGATGCAGTGTTAAGTGTAGACCTGCCCTCGGTTTGAAAATAAACTGACCAAGTTAGTTGAAAAAGTTAGCTTTTGCAGAGTTAGTTCATGTTTGACTTTGAAACTGGAATTTTAGCTCTACTTAAAGTGACAGTGTTTTTGCTCAAACACATTACTGAAACCTTCCTTGGAAATGATTGTACAATCATACTGTCTTTCAATGCTAGAATCACACAGGTTCCTTCTGTAGACTCTCTCTCTGCCTTTCCATATTGGCTCTACTATACACGTAGCATTATAAATAGCCCTTGTGGCATTGTATATTTGTGCTGTGAATAAAGAATTGTATGAGCGTGCAGGGAGTCCGATCCACACTTCTAACTCATTTCACTGATCTTTTAAACTGGTGAGTGGTACTGGCAACACCAACAGGGAACCACTTCTATCCCCACTAAGCAGTAGTCAGGACATATGCAGTTGCAGGGGTTATGGAAGTAATCAGTCTAGCTACCACAGTAAGCACATAAGAAATATTAGTACTACTTTTAAATTATTGCTGAGAACTATGATCATGGTTGTTGTGTGATAAAGCACAGGTATCTTTCAGTACTAATGTAATTTAAAACATTTGGGAGGTCTCAATAAGAAATCAAACATTTGGAATTTACCCATCAGGGTGATACCTAGATATCAACTGCCAGCTCAATCACTGTTGGAGAGGCATTTAAATTATACTTTTTATATTTCTCAGACATCTGTAGGCAATAACATCTCAATTGGAACTCATGAAGTAGCTCCATCAAGTAAGAAAAGTCACAAAAAGGAGCAGTTGTCCAAAACCCAGAAACGAAAGCTAGCAGACAAAACAGGTTTGTGCAATATAGTCTTGAAAATGGTACAGTGTGTTCGGGATAGTTTTGTACCTTCAAAGACAGGTTCAGATACAACTTGGGGCACGAGTGAGAATGAATTGGGTCTCACCCCAGTTTTCACTTGCTCAACTCATAAAGCTACCAAACAATTTTTCACCAGTGACAGCAGCCTGAAGCAGAAACTGTCTGGCATAGCAGTGATATGGCAATTAGCTCTGCTTATTCACCTCAATTCCTGACTGGGGAAGTTTGCACAGAGTTGCACGCTACACCTGCGTCAAGTTAGGACTGCGAGTTCCTTGCTTTCCATGCATTCTCTTGTTGGATATTGTGTTGGCCAGACCAGTAATATGAGAGTTCAGCTTTTAAAGATATGACATCTTGCTAGAGTCTAGCTGTTGTAGTCTGAGAGCTGAAAATAAACACTGCTTCTTCTATAGATCACAAAGGGGAGCTTCCTCGAGGATGGAACTGGGTGGATGTAATTAAGGTAACATGACTGTTACAACTGTGAAATTATTGCATCAGAACATTGGTTTTTCTGCAGATGTAATGATAAATTATATTTAATCTGTCTTTTTGCTTTTCTTCCTAACAACATTTGGATTTGACTGTGGTCTCTGATGATTTTCTGTATACATCCAGCATGTAAGTATTTTCAAGTTTTAGAAATAGTTTTTAAAAAAAAAAATCTGCAAGAATTAGTGATTATGGTTACCCATTTCTCTATAGAGCCTAAGGATAATCCCTTATAAGACTTTAAAAATACATATTTCTTCTGAAACTTAAGATGTATCCCATGTGAAAGCATTAACTGTCTTACATTCCTCCTTTAAACTCAGGGTTTATCTTTTGACCATTTCAAATGAAGTTTTTGAGGTGAGAACTTTCAGTATGTAATTTAGCTGTGAATTCCAGAATGCGCTGAATGTGCTGACTTCACATGGGCAACTAATAGGGATGCAGCCAGGATTTTCAGGGACCTGGATAAATAGAAGCAAGGAGCCACTTCAGCAATTGCGTTTCTCCTAAGCAGTAGCCCCACATTGTCTCCTGCATGCCTGCACCTTCTGCCTTCCTCTCCCCACAAAGAACTTTTTCCCGGCCTAATCAATATCAATTATTGATTTGTACTACTGGAGCACCTAGGATCAGGATCCCACTGTGCTAGGGGATGTACTAACAGAACAAAAAAAAGATAGATTATAAACTCTTTGGGGCAGGGACTAACTGGAAGACAAGAGACAGATGGATATAGGCAGAATGGGGAGTACAAGGAAACAGACAGTATTGGTCTGTTAGTTCCTCCATTGGCCATTTCCACCATTCTTCTGCTGGAATATAAATTAACATTGCTATTTTTAACAAGTTCTACTTTATAACAAAACATATTTGATTGAACACTGGTATGACCTATTGTCAGCATACCTCAGAGCATAGTGTTGAAACTACAGCAAATGGGCCCTATCAAGGTTTTTAAACTCTAAATAATCCACTCATGACAATTTGTTGCAGAAATGTGTGGAACTGAATCTGTTTGACTTTCGAAAATGTGTTTGTGGACTGGTATCAGCCTTTTCTTATTAAATGGAAACGTTCATAACTTCAGCTAATGTCTTTAATGAAGCTTAAACTCGTTCTAAGATTAACTGTAGAATATACTGTTTTGGATGTAAAATAGTTCATAAAAATGGGAAAGCAGAGTCTTAAATTCAGATGACAATGAGTCAAATGTATAAAAGCTATAAACGATTAGTTTTGAGAGTCATTTGAACTTTTTGATGCATTAGGTTGATGAGTTTGTGCTAGCTGAATAGGCCTGTATGTAGTGTAAAAAAGAAATATAGTTCCTAATTCCTAATAAATGCAATGTGTCTGAACATTTTTTCTTTGTCTTTTATAGTTAAGCAAAACGGGTTCTAAAGATGATGAATAATGGACTTTGATACAAGGAAACTTCACCTTTTAATACAGTGCAATTTGGGTCAACATCTTTCTCTTAATAGCTTTTTCCTCTTGTCAGAGTGGAACATTTTATGAAAGGACAATTTCCTAACTATTAAACGTGAGCACAGATGTTTATCCAGAGATTATTCTGGTATTACATTTTTCTTCACAAACAAAAACTTGCCTTAAAGGGAAGATAAGTGCGCCTTTTCTATATTGAACTTTTTGAAAGCCTATTTGGTTTCTAACTGTCGAATGCTGAAAAGAATAGTGAAATATGCAGTGTTAATTTATATTGTTTTACTCTGCAGTAAGAATATAGTAAAATTCTGTTAGTGAATCCTCTGATATTGTGACCATTTCCTGAAGTTCTCATTCCAATGGAATAAAAATATTAAAAGTGGTTAATCACTTGACAGCATAGTTCATTTAAAATAAACTCCCTTTAAATAAAGCCTTCTTGATGTGTTCCTCTACAAATGCAGAAAGGGAACATAACACAATTATATCAAAGGATTTGTCTAGACCTAGGCCATGTCTACATTGCACACCTCACAACGGTAGGGCTGTGCTGCTGCAGCCGCGCTGTTGTAAGGTAAGCAGTGTAGCTGCTCTTTGTCGCCAGGAGAGAGCTATGTCTACACTACTGACCTTATAGCTGCACAGCTGTACCACTGCTGCTGCACTGCTGTAAGAGCATAGCCACTCTGAGGATGGGAGAGAGCTCTCCCGCTGCCATAATTAACTCACCCCCAACGAGCGGCGGTAGCTATGTTGGCAGGAGAGCGTCCCACAGACATAGCTTTGTCCACACCGGTGCTTTTGTTGGTAAAACTTATGTTGGTCAGGGGTTTGGGTTTTATTCCACGTCCCTGACCAACAAAAGTTTTACCAGCAGAAGTGCTAGTGGAGACAAAGCCTGAAGCTTTTGGTTCTGCTTTAAATCGAGTTAAACAGCCTGCACGTGGTGGTGATGCAGCTGAGTTTCTATAGGCTTGCTAGTAACACTATTGCCTGAAATCAGAGTAAGTTTCTGGCTCTGTGATTTTGACTAACTAGCTCCAAGTTAAGGGTAGAGAAGGTAGCAACACGTGACGCTTGTAAATGCTAGTGCAAAAAGGACCACACACCTAGTCTAGACAAATTCAAATTGAAAGAACAAGTGGTTACAATACCAGTATGTGTTCTCAGTTCAGCCCAGTGTGCGTCTGTTGTAGTCCTCCTCATGTATATCTTTACAGGAGATCAGGGTGGAGCTGTCCTACTGATAGTGACTTTCTGAATGTTATGACTTGTTGGCTTTTTTTCATTGGATAATCAGTAGTTTACCATGTGGATTTTATTGTATGAATTACGGGACATTGGGGGAAAAAAACAAGCCACTCTCCCATGTTGGAAAACCATTTTTTGTACAGGTTTGTTGTCTTGTATCAAAGAAAAAAATCCTCTTTACTGTACTATAAATGGTAACTGAATACTAAATGCCTTAATGTCATTTAATATTTGAGATTTTGATCTTAATAAATGCTATTTATCTGCCATGGTGTGAGGCTTTTCTTGCATAATGCCTGTTATGCATATAGTTGTATATTTAGGTTTGCATCAAATTCCTCTCATTATGAAGAAAGATTCTTAAAGTTGTCAAGAGAATTCCTTTTTCTTCAGTAGGTGCACTGTATACTTTTCAGGATAATTGTTGCAGCTCCCTTCTTTAGGACTCGGTCTGTCACGCTTTTGGGTGTGCAGCAATTAGATACACATTTGCTGAGGTGCATGTCATGCTCAAAGTATGCATGCAGCAACCAAAGTTCATTTAAAAAGTGTACCCTGTTGCATGTAATAATCACAGCATTTAGTGTTAAGGATGCAGACTGGGTGCTGCTAGAAGACTTGGACTGAGTCATGCGTCTGAGCAGCCAAGTACTAGAGAGGTCCCCTGTAAAGACAGTAGCATAAATTAACTTTACATTTTCAGCCAATGGGCTTGTTTGATTATTGGAAGGTATAGGTTATTGATATGCCACTAGAGGGCTTATAAACTGCAAACATGATTGCAGTTGCAAATTCCAACAAACTACTTACACTCACGCATGCTCTCCAGGAGGGTGGAATAAATTCACTTAAAATTACAGCTGTATTTTCTTCTGAAAAAGCAGTGGTATGAAACACCATTAAGTCTGCAGAAGAAAAGTCTGCTGGAAGTCATTGCTCTCTGCTTACAAGTTCTTCTGAAGAGAGGGAGGTCCAGGAGACCTATAAAAGAGTGGGATCTGACAAGTCCCTGTTCAAATAATGATTTAAGGTGTTGTACTTTGTATTGGAATGATATATAGGTCAGTGCAAACCAAAAGTGAACAGGATTTGAATGTGCAGGGTCTTTTAATAAAGGAACCACCAACCATTAGTTCTGATGGAATTTTAATCATCAGAAAATGTGGTTTTTCAGTTTTGAACCACAGTTATCAAAAATTTAAATAGACTAGATAAGATTACATCATCTGAAGAAAGCTAAGTGTTTGCAGCCATAAGTATTTAGTTTGTAAAATATATTGGTTGGCTTCTTAAACTAATAATACTTTTGTATAAGAAATCAAGCTAAGAACACCAGGAAGGCAATAACACCTTAGGAGAAGGTCCCTTAGGTGGGCTGGTATATTTCAGAGGAGGAAAAAAAACACAACAGAGAGCAACAATACCTGAAGTCCGAAGGTGCAAACAATTCGATGTTTATTGGGGTGAACTTCCAGCAAGCTTAAATCCAAGTTCCTTTTTCCTTATTTTCAAATCCCAACTTACTTCCTGTTTGCCCCTAATTTATATAGTAATATTCTTAGCTATACCTTAACCAATCATTCTACTGAAATTTAACTAACCAATCCTAACACATTGTAACATGATTAGCTAATCAATTATATCCCACCACCTTAATTAGTTTACACCCAGAAAAATTAATTATACAGCAGCCAGAAACAATCACAGAGCCAGACAGAGACCATGCCAATAAACAATAGCAAAGTGGGAACTATAATGACAAAACAATACAGAAGTGAGGATTTCACAACTACATCTATAAGACATAAGGGTTTCCCAGCTGTGTCTATTGATAAGTGAGTTCTTACCAGACAGAAAACTATCAACCTAAATTTCCTTTTACATCTTCTAGGCACTTCCCTTTCTCTGGAGGTGATAGGCACTATCAGGACAGGACTGTATTCCTAACAGCCCAATAGCACCTTCTTTCAATGTGACTAGTTTGGAATGTGACCAGTCACTTCCCAGCTTATGGCTGCCTCTGCTGCTTAGCCAAAGGCCTTAGCCTAAGAACAGGGCCTCAGACTGTCACAGTAAGAGAAGGACCTTACACTGGCAGACAGTGATTTTGATTCTTTTATACCTCTAACTAGCCAAGTGATAAGAATACACCTAAATTCTTAAAGTACAGGCCTTTGCAGACAGGCCTGAATATCTATATCCTAACACTGTGTATTTGCCTTGAGTAAGGAATTTGGCTCATTCAGTTAAAATCTGTCATTGGTACTTATGTCCCCTGTTACCATAGTCTCTGAGTGCTTCACAGACAGTCTTTAATGCATTTATCATCATGATGTCCCTGTGAGGTAAGGAAGTACTGTTAGCCTCATTTTTCAAATGGAGAACTGAGGCACTGAGAGGTTAAGTGACTAGCCCATACAGGCAATCTGTGGGGGAGCAGGAATTGAACCCAAGGTCACACAAATTCCAGAGTAGCAGCCTAAACACTGGCCCAGATCACTGAAAGATCAGCTCTTTTGAGTGTAAAATGTGACTCACCAGCTGATATGCCCTCTTATGGCTGGGCAGGCATAATAAGCTCACCTCCATTGGTGCCCGCTGTGGTGGTCTGGTTTTTCTTGTGCCTCACTGGCCAGGTCACTTTGGGTATGTATACACTGCCACTGGGAGTGAGCGTCCCAGCGCAGGTAGACAAACTCGTACTAGTGTAGACGTGGCTCAAGCTTATGTGCTAAAAATAGCACTGTGGCCATTGCAGCCTGGGCAGTCAAGCCCACCAACCCCCTAGGCTAGAGGGGCCAATCCAGAATGTCCACGCTGCTATTTTTGGTGCATTAATTTGACCCACACATGCTACCATGGGCCTGCTGACCTGGGCTGGGAAGCTCAGGCCCAGCTGTAATGTAGACATACCCATATGATCCCACCCCTTCCTCACCTTTCGGTTCTGATCCAGGGACCCTTGATTAGGCAGTCAAGGTTTGTCTGTACAGACCCATTGCTGCCTCCCTGGACCACTATATTTCCTAGGCTCACGGCAGAGCTCCTTGGCACATTGAGCCATTCATTTCCCTCACAGGGCAGTCCCTGAACCTGTAGAATTCTTCCTGCTCCCTGAAGGCCTCTCTGCCAGCATAGAGAACCCTGGGCAGACGCTCCCCAGCTTTGCTTCACAACTGTGTGGTGCTCCCCATTGCAGGTTTACCTTTCCTTCAGGGAGATTCTGTCTGCTAGCCATCCAGCTCAGCTCCCTGACTCCAGCCAGGTGTCTCTCACAGAGAGAGAGAGCACCAGCCATCTGCTCTCCTTCCTGACTAGCCCCCAGCTGAGCCCTATTCAGCCCTTTTAATTCCTCCCTCCAAGCTTGACACCCCCCCTCCCTTCCCCGCAGGTATAGCTGATTAATCACACAGGCTGTCATTAATCCCCTTCTGGGCCTTGTGGGAGTTTGTACACCACATCATATATGTCGGGGTGGCCAAACTGCAGTTTGCGAACCGCTAGTGGCTCTTCTACAGTTAAAGTGCAGCTCTCGGAGCCCCCTCTCATTTTCTACCCACCAGTCTGGGGGTGGGGACCTCAGGGCTTCTGCCCTGTGGCAGGGTGATGGGGTTAGGGGCTTCTGCCTTGCGGGGAGGGGGGTCTTGGGCCTTCAGCCCTGCGGGAGGCACCTGCTGGAGCTCGGGGCTTCAGCAGGAGCAGGGCTGAAACCCCAATCCCCAGCAAGTGTGCCCTGCAGGGCTGAAGCCCCAAGCCCCAGCAGGTGGACCCAGCTCTTGAACTTCTGAAGATTATCGTATGCAGCTCCGAGGGTCAGTAAGTTTGGCCATCCCTGATATATGTAATCAGACATTACAAAGCTGCTTTCCTCTACAAATAAATGAGAAAGATGATATACCAATCACTCAATTTAAACAATCACTTTTCAACTTGTTTCATTGTGGTGTCACACTGTAGTATCTCTGGTAGGTAGAGTTTGGTTGTAGACAGAGCTTTGAAGAGAACCTCTACTTTTTCTCCATCAGTTTAACCCCTGCCTGCTGTTCGTAAATGCATGTTGCTTTGGTATATACCTCGCATTTGGTACTCTACAAACTGTAAAGACAAATTGTGTTATACTCTGAAATTATTACTTTAGTAGAAGGTCCATAATAACAGTTTATTCAAACTCAGTGAACCAAATCGTGTCCCTAAAATTTAAGTCTGGAGAAAAATTTTAAATTTTTAATAAAAAGTTTCTCTGTATTTTCAGCAGCACAGTAATTTAAACAGCCAGACATCATCCAAAACCCTTCAGGAATTGTTCTTCTCCCCACAGATTTCATGTTCCCAGCAATCTCTGTACAAAGCTGTCAGCTCTAAGTGCGCTGGGGTGAGTTAACTTCTTGAGTTATGGAAACAAATCTAAAGTATTTCCAAAAAATATTGAATAAAGACAATGAAAACATTTTAACTGCAGGAATGTGTTTTCTTCCTTGCTCAATTTAAAATCGTAGAATTTCAAGAAATGTACCAACTAATAACACAATTAAGCAATAGAAAGTAGAGTAAAGCAAGCAAGACTGGGCCCTAACTAATGTAAATATTTCCATTACTGTAGATCGAGAGCTCTCAGTCTGGGGATTGTGAGCCCCAGAGGAAGTGTGAACCATACTGTAGTTCACTTATTCATGCTAGTCTTTATATTGATGTCAGTGGAACTATTCATGTAAGTAAGGCAATCAGGATTTGGCCCTTAATATGTGTTAGGTATCTAGCAGTCCTGTATATTCTTATCTGAGAAATGGGTTTCTCAGGAATGGCTCAATTATCATCATTTTAAGATCATTTGTCAAAGCTGATACCATATTACAAATCTTCAGAAATTACCTTTACATTGTGACTCTTCAGAAGGAGGCTTGAACTAGCGTTTGAATTTAACTCATTGACTTTTTTTGGTTTTAGCTATGGATATACCCTCTCAAGTTTTTTCTTAAAAAAACAACAGAACTTTCTGGATTAAGTGTAAATGTACAGTTAAGGAACCTCTTAATTTTTGTTTGTGATATCTAGAGACAATATTGGCATTGGCATGTACCCAGTACAAAAATAAGTGGAGAAACGGACATACAAGTGAAGTCCCATTTAAAGGTATGTATTAACTTCCCTTGTTTTCAGATTGCTTGGAATAGCTGAAAATTAAAGTTTGCTATTTCATCTCTTATGCATGTTTCTAGCATCATTTGGAGCATCGCCTTGCTTGAAGGCTAAAGCAGTCTGTTGGACGTCAGGCAGCACTTGAGGATGAAAGTCGAGCTGCCTTGGGAAATACAGAGGCTTTTACTCTGAGGGTAAGAATCAGTGAAAAACATCAAACCAATTGTCCAGCCATAGACTTACAAGTAGAGCTGTACTTTAAATGTGTGTCAGTAAGGTTTCAAATGAAGACATGCTGCATCTGATTCTGTTGGGGAATGATGGAAGCCCAAAAAGTGTGTGTAGGGAATGAGGTCATCAGCTGCAGCTCTTTTGATCTCCCCCATCCCATGTAGTGAAGGGAGTTTTCCAACAGGTCCTTGGGCAGGGCATTTTCTCAGTATCTTTTTCTTCCCTCCCATGCTTTGTGGGCAAATTATTGATATCATTGCATTCTTCCATACAAGGAGGGATTAACAGGATTAATACCAGTGAGTATGGAAAAGAGATGTGGAAGAGGAGAAAGCACAAAATAATCAAAAATAATATGTAAAGTGAGCACTCTACACTTTGTATTCTGTGTTGTAATTGAAATCAATATATTTGAAAATGTAGAAAAGCATCCAAAAATATTTATAATAAATTTAAATTGGTATTCTATTCTTGTTTAATAGTGCGATTAAAACTGTGATTAATCATGATTAATTATTTTAATTGTTTGACAGCCCTAATCCTGACATTTGAGAGTTCTATCACAAGATCATGAGTCAGACTTAATTTTACTTAGAAATCGTGTCTTTCATGATCAATTTGCGAGAGTTGGCATGTCTGCCAGGCTCTAGCTGTGGCACGTAATGGTTCAGTCTCCTGTGGACTGTAACACTTTGGTCTAATGTCAGTTGCTGGGTTTAACATGCAGGTGCTGGGAGATATTGGTGGCCTCTGATATAAAGGAGGTTACAAAGGAGACCTTCTAGTCTTTTAAACTCTATGACTCTAAGAGGAGAGAAAGGCAAGCTGATTGGGGAAAAGTGTAGGAAATGACATGGGAAGCAGAAGGAAATGAAAACAACTATTCTGGTGCGGGGAAGATTATGTAGAACCCTGCAGATGAGGAACAGGAGCTTACATTTGATGTAGTAAGAGACAATAAGTAAAATGGGAGAGTCTAGAGGGTTTTCCATGTAGCAACACAAGGCCCTCCCTTTGGCACATAGGTTTGATGTGCTGTCTGCGCCACTCCCACAAGAGACGAACACTCAAATTTAGGTCTTTCACATGACAATGCTGAACTCTACCACTGGGCCGCTAGTTCACCCCCTGCAGTCCATACAGATATGTAACTCCCACTGAAGTTGGTGACAATTGTGTGTGAATTTGTGTTGCAGTATTTGGCCCTAGTCTGTACATATTTTGACATGGTGCTGCAGTAAGGTTTCTTATGTGAAAATTTTATTTCTCTTCAGTCCAAAGAAAAAACCTGCAGATGCATGCAAATTCCAGTGCACTTTCAGATGGATTTCCACAGAAGGATAAAACCTGTTTATCAGAAGAGGAGTTATTCTTCAAAAGGCACATGACAGCAATAAAGAGAAGGGTAAATGTAAATATTTGGGTCCTACCAACACTGAGAACAGATGAAATACCTCGCTTGAAGAGCCCTAAGATTAGTGATGACAAGGGAGACAACAGAGCGATGACAGACTCATTGAAGAGTGCTTTGTTAGAAACTGTTTGTTTAGCTGAAAATGAGCATTCCAGTCAGGATAATGGAGGAGACAGACCTGTCTACAGTGAATCCTCATCACAAAGTACAGTTCAGTTGGAGCCCCAGTCTGCGAGCAGGGCTGAAAAAACAAAGTCTTCTACTCCTTTAAAAAAAGAAAAGGAGTACTAGTGGCACCTTAGAGACTAACCAATTTATTTGAGCATAAGCTTTCGTGAGCTATAGCTCACTTCATCGGATGGCATCTGATGAAGTGAGCTGTAGCTCACGAAAGCTTATGCTCAAATAAATTGGTTAGTCTCTAAGGTGCCACTAGTACTCCTTTTCTTTTTGAGAATACAGAGTAACATGGCTGCTACTCTGAAACCTTCTACTCCTTTGTTACTGAGGAGCTGGGAGGTGCCTGCTAATCTGGGAGAAGATAAACAACGGGACCCTCCTGATAGTGACACAGACAGGACTATGTTTAGGGGACACATCAATATACCATATTCAGCTGGAAAGAAAGTCTTTATAGTCTACATTTCTAGAGGTTATCAAGGTAGAGCAATTAGAAACCAGCCCCATTCCCACCACAGACACTCCCACACCCGGAGATTCCTGGACCATCATGTATCACATCTGGGCTAATTATTATTATTCACTATTTATATAGTGCCCACAATTTTGCTAGGAAATCTAGTTTGGGGGAAAGAGCATAAGACTGGGAGTCAGGAGGTTGTTCTAAATCTGACTGCCTTTGACTCACTGTTTGGCCTACAGCAAGTTGCTGCATTTATTGTCTCCGTTTCCCCATCTGTAAAGTAAGAATAATAATATGTACCTACCTGTCTACCTCCTGGGGTTAATGTGTTATTGTTTGTACAGTGCTCTGAACGTATGAAGTGCTATGCACATGTAAAATGGGATGGCACGTGGGAAGACAGACAGGTACCTGCCCTGAAAGACTTGCCATGCAAATAGACATCATTTAGGCAAAAAAACAAAACCAAAACAAACAAACAAACACGGGGTGTGTTAGTGGAAATGTCAGTCATCACTAGACTTCTTTTACATTTAAATACGAGTTCCAGGACCCTAGCATGTGAAACGTCAAATGAGTATGAACAAGTCAGTCTATTAAAAAAGAAACACACATTAAAATTTTCACATGATGTCAGCACGAAAATACTCCCAAGCTGCCGTGCCCAACCCAACCCTTCAGAAGAAGTCTGGTTACATTTCCTTTTTCCTAACAGTGGTGTGGAGGTTCCAGTAACTGTGCATTTGGGCTGTCTATATAAAGGGTGTGAATTCTCCCATGTCCCTTTAAAAATACAGCTGTCAAGCATTCTGCATTTTGGTATTTATACCTAATATGTTTAAAAGATGACAAAAGAGTTTTTAAAAGATGCTAATAATAAAATGCATGTAAAGATGGGAGGGGAAACCACCCTACAAAGGTTGCACACAGGAACAAATCTGCAGTGAGGTTTGTGTACTTCAGGCAAGTGCAGTTCCCAGCATGTAAAGAGATGGTGATCAACTCCCAAAATTTGCCTTCAACTTTTCATCCTAACATTCAGGGGTGCTATAGTCTTGGGGTTTGGCAGTCCAATTTTAGAGAAAGGAGCTACTTACAAAATTTGCATCTAGATTGTGAACATCCAGAGGGTTGGGAGTGTTTAAATCTTTAGTTACAGTGTACAACACCCTATGAGCAAAACAGTTAGAATGTGATTGGGAAGATGTGTGCAGATGGTGATCATAAACAGTGCACCTTAGGTGACTGTATTATATGTAGTACCATCTGGTCATGAATGAAAAAGCATATCAAACCATGAAATAATCTCTAAACATCTCTTTTATTTGGGAAATATTTATCCCATTAATGCATTTAAATCTTTGTGGTAGCATGAAATGCTGCAAAGCTGTATTTTATACCAATATAACCATTTAGCCTCAGTATGCTTGTTTTTTGAGCCAGATTCAAAGGCTGAAAGAAATGCATTAATGGAAAAGTCATACCCTCGTCTGTACAATTACTGTAAAGAAAGAGGTTACAACTTTCGGATTCTGGACCTAAGATGGGGGCTAAAAGATGGTGTCAGCAATGATCACCACATGGTTTTACCTCACTTGAAAATGCTGAAGTGCCAGGAGTTGGGACACCAAACGTTTTTTATAAGTTTGGGTTTAATTGGGTATGATTAATTTCTAGTATATTTTCTAGGAATTGTTTGTTTATTTTACTTTCTGAACAATGCACATCTTACAGATCTAGTGTATTGCGGTAACTGGTAAATACTACACTGAGTTACACCCTGTGGAATCTTAAAGCCTTGATTTTTGCACAAAGTGTATACCAGGGCTGTATTGTGTCCCCTTTATATGGCTGTTTGTTCTGTTTTCAGGTTTTCATTGGATAAAAGCATGACAATCCTGTCATCCCAGAAATCATATCAAAGGAAAACTTAGACACAATTAAAGACACAATTGAAAGTATAAAACTGGTTGCAATAAAGCCAAAGCAGAATATGCTGAGTGGTGTACTACGTGGTGGATCAAAAGAGGCAGCTCTGACTGAGAGAATAGAACAGGTAGAGGATCATCAGGCTGGTGTTACACAAAATTTTCTGGGAACTGACAAGTCATCAAAAGAAAAGACAGTTGAGACCCACCTCAATAAAGAACCGGAATCAAATATTTCAGATTAGCAGGATTTGGCTCATGCATCTCTACTCATACAACATAAACCTGTAGTTGAATATGAGAAAGAACTGCAGCTTCTTAACCAATGGTACAAACTGTATGAAAATTATGACCCAAGAGTTTAGAGGCTTCTACCCATCAGGTTCATATTTTGTCAATTCTCTTTGGAAGTCCTTTGGTTAAAGAATATAAATGTTTTTCATTCCAAACCAGCAGACTAAATTCAGTGATGAATCCTGGTCACATGCCACCTGAGGCTTGTTGTGCATACGCTAAGAAGAAGATTCCAAACCATTTAAGAGATTCATTTGTTCTCCATTCATTTTAAATGGAATCAATGGGGAAAAAAAAAATCAATGGAAAGATCCATTTCTAAACAGCTATATGGAAGAAACATTTCAGCCTGTAGAGTTGCAGAGGGGGTGAGACTCAGTGTTGAATGGAACTGCCTGGATCACTATCCTCTATGAACTAAAGTTATCACTGTTTAAATGAACAGCGCTTCTCCCTTTATAGGGAGAATGCACCAGCAGAAGGTATTGCTTAATAATGATGCTAATAATTCTGACATCTGCAGATCTTGAAGGCAGATAGGTATTTTGTTATCCCCTGTTCCAGACGTGGGGTAACTGAGGCTTAATGAGACCCAGTCAGGAAGTCAATGGCAGAGTCAGGATTAGAATTAATGTCTGACTCCTAGCAGCATGCTCAATTCACTAGGCCCCTGCTGTCCTCTCCTGAAGTTAACTTGCTTGTTTCTCTAATCACATTTGGAGCTTAGAGCAGCTTCTTAGTTTTCACACATCTTCTCTTCTCTTTCACGCGTCTGTGGGTCTCTCATTCTTCCACACAGCACCTTTTACCAGGATATTTTCAGTAAGGATCCTGTACACAAACAACAAGCTAAGAGCAAATGGCTGAGCTCTTTCCAGAAACTGTGTGAGATATTTCAGGAACATGCTCCAGTTGCTCTCAGCAAGAGACTGCCACTGCACTACTTAAAACAGGTGAGACTGGAATCCAGATGTAGAAAATGTGTCAGTTAGAGTGATCAATACACTGTTTTTAGGAGAAACAAACAGATTGTTCTAGTCAGTAGGGATGGACAAATCGATTGTGGGAGCTGCAGACATCTACATGCCTAGTATGGTTCAGAAGCCTGTAAGTGCCTGGATATTTATGATTATTAGAGCACCATAAATACTTAAGAGATTAAATTACTTTCCCTCAATAACCCAAAGTGCCTGTCTCAATTCAATGTATGGTTGGATTGGTGCATATGGTTGGATTAGCATACGTAATGCCGTCTGCAGGCTTATTATTTGGGCTTTACTAGAGGAGCAAGCAGCCTGGGTTTTGGACAGGCAAAATAAAATATGCACTGTGAAATACTGTTAATAACACTCAGTGCAAAGTACAAAGTGATGATCTGACTTTTGCTGCAGGATTAGTGTAAAAATAATTTAGCACTAATACAGCACTTTTCATTGGTAAGTCAAAAAGTTGTTTTCAAGGGAGGAAAATGATGGGTATCCCTATTTTTCAGATGGAGAAACACAAGGAGGTTAAATGACTCCCCTATGCTCAGAATATACCCCAACACTTTAATTCTTAGTCTGGCAGCCTCTCCACAAAATAGCATGTTCATGAACAGTTGACTCACTTAGAATATAATGTAGTTAGAACACAATCCATAGAATCATAGAATCATAGAATATAAGGGTTGGAAGGGACCCCAGAAGGTCATCTAGTCCAACCCCCTGCTCGAAGCAGGACCAATTCCCAGTTAAATCATCAAAGCGAATCATAAATCATCCAGCGAAGAGAGTGAGGCCCTGACACTTAAGAAAATAGAGATCTCATCCTATGACTGGTATTTTTTCTTCTGACTAGGGAAGTTAGTGTCTCATGAGTCTTTCTTGAAGATTTTCTGTCTTCATACAACACTGGACTTATAAAATAAAAGGGTAACAGTTAAAATCTCTGGTGTGTAGGTGCTTCCTTGATTTAAATAAACCCTAAAGTTAAGAGGCTATAATAGAAGTTATCCACAGGTATAAGTGTGTTTTGGGAGGAATTATACCTTACTTACCATCACCAAAGCCCTGGCAAGAGCATTTTTACTTGCCATCACAGGTCAGGAAGTTTTCCCTTATATTCAGCCTAAATGTTCACCATCTTGATACTTGCTCTTAATTATTCCCCATTTACCACACTGAAATCCTCTAAACCTTTGGCATTAATATCCTTTGATATATTTGTAGACTGTTATCATTTCTCCTGTAGGTTATTGTTTAGTCAAGTTGTATGCACTAAGTTCTTCCGCATTCCTCCTATGTCAATCCTTCCAGTCCCCCATTCTGTTTTGTTACTCTTCTCTGAACTCCCTCCTGTTTGTCAATACCTTTCTGTTAAGGTTCTAGAATTGGTTGCGGTATTCCAGGTGTGACCACACCTGGAACCAAATGGAGCCAGGCT